CCGATTGGTGACTGATTGATGCCTGATTTTTCACTTTTCGACCTGTGGCTAACCATATATTAATTGGTAATTAGAATTTTTGTACTTTACTAACTTTTTTTCATTTTCTTTTTTTGTTATTTTTTAATATTTTTCAGGATATCACTTAGTTTTTTTTATCTATAAATAACTTTAAAAATGCAATCAATATTAAAAATACTTATACTTATGTACTTTCTGATAGGTAGCTAGATAAATTGTAATATATTTTTGTAATTATATAAAATCATTTTAATATAATTTGTATTATTATAGTTGTATTAAATTAAAAAAAAATTTGAGAATTAATTAATAAAATTAGTTATCTGAAAAATTTCATAAAATAAAAAAAAAAACAATTTTTGGATTGATATTATGTAATATTTGTAATATAAATGTAAAAATATCTGAATTGTCATATTAGATAAATTAAACTGCTATAATTAAATATATATAAATTTTAATCCTAATTATTTAAATAAAAGATTGAAGATATATTATATTTTATCATTATATATACTGAAGGCATTCTAAATTTATCTATAAAAAACCATAAAAACCATTCTAATAGATTATAGAAATATTATTTACTAATAAATCTAGAAAAATCTTAACTATTACAAAGTTTAATAAGAGTAAAATTTTGAAAAAGGAAAAATCCGAAAAAATCTGGTAATTTTTTTATAATATTATTAATATAATAATCTGCAATTGATTACATCTTTTCAAATAAAGATTTTATAAAAAAAGGTATAAAAGTAAGTAAGAAATTAGTAAAATTAAGCATGTCAATTGTATAAGAAATTCTTAAATTTTTAATATTTTAAAATAATAATTCTACCTATAATAAATAATTCTTTATATTTAAAAGTTAAAGAATTATTGCATGTTGGTGAAATGGTATATTTAATTTGCTATTTAAAATAATATTGGTCAGATTATGTTTATAATGTAATTATTTGATAATGATAGTTTTTTTTTCTTTAAAAAAGTTTGTTTCATCTAAAGTAAAAAATAGCATTTAGATTTGAAAGATATTAGAATTATGATTATAGAAATTAGAAAAACAAAAAAAGTTATATTACTGGCTGTTAGTGAATTAAACCAAAAAAAAAAAAGCTGATGCAAACTTACCAGTTAAACTATTAAAACTATTATAATTGTATAATTACAAATACCATTAAATTATTATTGAAATTTGATTTATGAAATATAATATATTTTATTTTAATGTTTAACCAACAAGTTATAATTTCATAATAAATTAATTTATTGTAATAAATTGAATATAAAGATTCAAAGAGAGTTTTAGGAAAGTTTTTAAGAAATTATTTAATAATGTGTATTATAAGAAATTTAATTTAAGGGTAGAAATAATGGTGTTGTTATAATTAATTAATTAATTAATGGTTTATTTGTTAAGCCAAGATTTAAATTATTATGAAATCGTATAATTAGTAGTTTTATAGTTTTACATTAATAATGTTAAAAAAGACAACATGAAGTTAAAAATTTAAAGAGCAAGAGAAAAAAAATTTTTTTTACAGATCAAATTCCGAAATGATTGCCGATATATAGCAAAAAATATTATGTTGTGTGACATTTATTAAATGTATGAAAAAAAATGTGGCTGAGGGACAAAAGATTTTATCATACATACAATATACAGTATAATAATTTTCTTTGAGACTAATATAAACTTTAGGACCAAGTATTTATACAAACAAACAATTCATAAAATTCGTACATTTGTACAATTCATACAATTTCTTACATTCATTACAATTTCGTATAATTCATACAAATTCTACAATTCAATACATCATACTAATCTAAAAACTATAACTAATATTTATGTTTCTTTTTATGTGCCAATAAGCTGCCATAATGAGTATATTTTTTATCACAACCTTCATAATCGCAAGGAAATGGAACATCTCCATTATGTAATCTCAAATGATAATACAAACTACTAGAAACTTTATATTTCTTATTACAACCTGATTTATTACAAACAAAAGGTTTTCTTCTAATATGAGATTTTTTATGTGTTGATAAGTGACCTAATTGAGTAAACCTTTTTCCACATTTTGGATTATCACATGAATAAGGTTTTTCACCTGTATGAATCCTTTTATGAAGTGTTAAACTACTAGAACGTGTAAGTCCTTTACCACATCCTGGCTCATCACATATATGAAGTTTTATACCTGTAGATTTCCTTTTATTTAAGTCACTCTTATCCATAAAATCTATTTCATTATGACACACATATTTTTTATTAAATGTGTGTATTGTAACTCTATGCGAAAGTAAACTAGCGGAATCTGAAAATTTTTTTCCACATCCTGGATATTTACATGGGTAAGGTTTATTATTTTTATTAATTGCAAACTTTCTATTCGACTTTTTATTCGACTTTCTATTCAACTTTCTATTCGACTTTCTATTCGAAGGTTCAACATAATCACTATCACTATCACTTGTATCCTCTTCTTCCTCTTCTTCCTCCTCTTCACTTTCTTGAAACTGATTATGAATTTTAATTTCATTTTCTTCTTTAACATTTGTTTCTTTATTTTTATTTATACTTTCAAATTTGAATTTGTAATTACTTTCTCTTTCTTCTTTAATATACATATTAGGATTTGCATTTTGAGTTATATCAAATGTAATATTCTCTTCAGATGTAAGAGATGTATTATAAGAATTTTCCATACTAAATGATTCATCATCTTTTATAGTTGAATCGGATAATATATCATCATCATAATCATTCTTCGAATCGTCATAACAAACTTCCGAAGTTGCGGAAGAATTGGTTTTCTTCGAATCAGGATTATGAGCTAATTAAAAGTGTTGAAAAGGTTAATATATAATTTTATTTGTTCTATTTATTTAATATATTCTTTACCTAAATTATATTGTTTTACGGAAAACCTTGCTACGTAAAATTCTGGAACGTTGCTCATATTTTGCAAAAATAATTTTGATTATAAAAAATTTTACTTTTTTTTTTTTTTCTGTTTAAAATAAAAGAAGAGTAGAATGGAATATATGGATTAATTGTTAAATATATTGGCGGAAAATTTGCGACGATCATTACGCAATATGACAAAAAGACAATAGAATGGAAAAAAAAAAAATAAATGCAGAAAAAAAAGAAAAAAAATAAGGATAATATTTTAATAATTAGCTATTTATCATTATAAATGTAAACATTTTCATATATTTTCATATGTTAAACTACTATAAAGAAAATAACCTTTGCCACATCCTGATTCGTCGCACGTTTTTACTTGCATGTGCTTGACTGTACTACACCAAATTAATCCAATTTCCAATTAATGCATGAATCTATCCGGTATTTTATAATTGATGATGGTCAAAATATCATGTGTATCAGGTAAAGTTTAAAAAAAGTTTAAAAAAGTTTAGTGGTTACACCGAATAAATCACTTATTCGGCACTTCAACTATTTAATATTGCTATTGATTTACTATTTTAACTATTTATCGTATATTGACCTTCTATTTATTCCGTTTTATTTTTATGCCTTTGAAGTCATTATATGGTGATGTTATGATTTACAAATTATTTTTAAACTTTTTTTTTACTTTTTTTTAAAAAATAATTGATCGACAATACAAACATTAATACATTAATATGGTATCCTCTGCATAAATTACACAAATTTATTCTGACAATATTAAAAATTGCATCATATTGGAGATTATCATACATTCAACAATTGAAGGGAATTAAGATAGAAATTACTTTATTATTCTTATACTTTAAAAAAGAGAATAAAATATTGCTGAAATACGAACAACCCTTGTTAATATTTCTATATATACACATATACCGTATATAACCGAAGAAATCTAAACCCAATGATGATTTTACTTACCATCGGGAATTTCTAATTCATCTTGGTCTTCTGAATGAAGATTTGGATTATTATATATTTATTTCATCCTCATCTATAATGAAGAGACATAATTATTATTACGTATTTGTTTTCTTAATTGTTGTTGCGTGGTTTCTTTTATAATCATTTTCACTTACAACACCATTTATAACAATTTACCAACATGATTTTGGTTAAAAAAAGATATTTAATAACTATTAAAAAATTTTTCTATAAACTATAATTAACACTTTAACTGCATAAATTTATTACTTACTATTATTAGGAATATTAAAATAATATGGTTTACTATGAAATTCTATTTGATAACAAAATATTTAAAATATTAAAATTTATCTTCTTGCTCTTCTATTATAATTTATAAAAAAAATTGGTTTAAATATAAATAAATAAATAAATAAACTTATTAATTTATTATTTATTACCTTCAGTTGCATTTTTTAGTCGGGTAGATTTTCAAATTCATGAATTTTACTTATATATAGTCTACTACTTGTGTGATTCATTTAATTTTAAATTATTATTATTATTGTTGTTGTTGTTATTATTATTATTATTTGCTTCTATTTTTCTCCAAAGAGTTCGAATATCAGCATCCCAACATTGTTCAATTAATTTTTATATTCTAAAGGAGTTTCTGGTAATGGTGGTTGTTCAGATGAAATTTCCCACATGAGTATTGCAACACTATATATATCAGATGCAAAGGTATATATAGTCTTTACCAGCAATAGTTTCAGGTGCTATGTAAAGAAGATTTCCATATATACTTTTTGTTGTTTTATCAGCAGGTCCACAAACCTATAAATGTATTAGTATTTAAATTAGTTCATTTAAATAATTTGCAGAAAAAAACTGTTTAATTTTAAACTACAAACCCATCAAGCCAACTTGGATTTGCATTATTAACATTTTCTAAGCTTTTAAGAATTACTTTAAATGTTCTAAATCCTTTTAATTGTTGTTCTTTAAAATCCCATTCATCATATCCTCCACCAATCTAAATTGCTGACCTCTTGTTAGATATTCAATATTTTGTAAATTATTATCCATTCTGACTTCTTGTATTAAATTATAATTATCAATATTTTTTAAATAATTTCGAACACAATATTCACAATATAATGTAGCCAAACGTTGTTATTTCATTATATCTTTATATATATATCTTATTACTTTAGTTTTTTCATCCTTCGTAAGAGATTTATCAGCAAGAATTGTTTTTTGTTTAAATTTATTTGTTTGTGATGTCATTATAAATACTATAATTTATTAATGCAGAGGTTCTACTAATTGCTGCATACTCAGACATAATTAAAAATTTTATTTATTTGAAAGAGAAAAATTTAAAATATGAAAAGCAGAACAAGTTCAAATTATATGTATATTTAATTCGTGATACGCTGGTGGCGTAAATTGCATGACTTTGTGCTATCTACTGTCCGAAGATCTGCAGTGCCTAAAGTAGAAGACCTAGACATGTTACTTCCATAATTTTTTGTTTAAATCTAATAATTCTTTATCTTCTTTTTGTCCGTTTTGCCTTTGATATTGAATACGCAATTTGAGCATTGTCACTGTTAACAAACATTTTTGATATTTCTAACACTATTTTTCTATATATACCTTTCGTAATTATTCTTATTTAACTTTTTATATTTAATTGATAAAGCTCTTGGACTTCTTACTGAATGAAAGTAATCCTCTGAAAATATATTTCCATTTTTCTTTATATATGTTCGCATATTTAACTAATTTATCAATATCTTTTGCCCAATTTCGTCATTAATCGATCTTTTATTACTATTTTTTTAAAGTAAAAAAATTTATGTTGTTTCTTTTTATGAATAAGTTTGAAAATTTTGAAAAATAATTATTTTGAAATTTTATTATATTCTGAAGAAAAATAATATTTTATTAATTAAACTCATTCTTTTCAAGATAATCGTATGTTGAGGAAAATTATCTTTTTCGTATTTATCCTATAACTTCAAATTTAAAGACATTTAGGTTCGAATTTTGTTGTGTGTTGTATGTATAATGGAATCGTGTGATAGTCTTATAAACAAGTATATAAAACAACGTTATTAGTATGTTTGCTCGCTTTTTAATGCATGAGTCGTTCTTTCTTATTCTAGTACATCATCAAAAAAATTTGAGATACTATTTTTCATACGATGATCGTGGTACGCAATCTGAAATCTCAATTTAACCGATTTATATAGTGCGATTGTTACGGCTGAAGAATAAAATAGAGCTACAACAAATCAAGAGATTATTGTCCGGAGCGTAGCGAAGGACTATTTATTGTACGGAACTAGATAAATTTGCAGTACCGGTTTAACCCATGTATTTTTCCTTCCTTCCACCTACGTCACTATAATTTAGCCCCTGCTTATTTCCTTTTATGTTTGTATCACATTTTTTGTAACGCTTTATTTTTAGCAACACATTTTGTGTAACCATTTATATATGTATGTAAACGTATTAAGCGACGGACCCTCAACGGTTTCCGTTTTCCTAGTTTATTATTCGTTTGGAGAGGATGAAAACATTTTCGAGATTCAAAAGCCTTTATAAAAATCGTAAGGTTCAGAGCATGCTCATCAAAGAAGTTACAAAACAGCTTCCAAGTGATCTCTCGAAAAATACTATTGAGAAAAGAATAGAAAGGGCAAGAAAGATTTATGATTTTTTTAGTACCATTGGGTATTATAAGATACAATAGGTAAAGACCTTTTCAGCATTGCATATCTACAGGTAAAGTCGAATACCCAAATTAGATAGGTTGCTGCGCCACAGTCACGTGATTTTCTCTGACCCAGAGAAATTAAAACGCAAAAAAATAAATAGTTCATATCGATTCTTTCCTTTAGGCTATTTTGTTCACTGATGAATTATGTATTACTTTATGCTTATCAATAAAATAAAATAAAGTTTTGCCCGTGTAACTTTTGTATGCTCATCGAAATAAAACTGCTTTTTCGGCCATAGGCAAACATATTGTTATATAACATTCTTATTTATTTTGAAACTCTAATCTTTTTTCGAAAAATCTCGCAACATAAATCACGAGGTGATCAACGAATCAGAAATGAATTAGTTGTAGAAATATACCGAGAGCAAAGAAATAATTGGATGCTGGGACTCGCATTAAAAGGCCTGAGGTCCGCGTACTCCCTCCCTCTTCATATATTTCATTCGCTACCTCCACTTTTTTACTGAAAAATTAATAAAGTCTCGTTTTCAATGTTCACTTTGTTGCAAGGCTATTATTTGATTTGTTATAATATTACGCGCAGTGACACAATGTGGGTGACAACTGAGATATTGCGTTGCCTCATTCCATCACTAACATTTTTTCTTTTGCGCTAAGTCTGAAAATTTGTTAACCTTTCTATCTGGTATGTTTTGGCTGATCTACAACGGAGTTAGATACATTGTATATATACAGTGTATATACAGTATATATATATATTGTTCTTCTCTTTGTCATCCTTAGTTTCATTACTTCAGCCTTAAAGCTCAGCGATCTTAACATCATGCCTAGCATTCATGGGCACAAATTTAATAGTATCTGTCTTATTTTTCTCTAGCTCCTCAATTCTGGCCTTGAGCTTGGCATTCTCGGCATCTCTTCCACACCCTGTTTTAGAAGCTCGGCAACCCTGGCCTTAAGCTCAGCCTCAAGCTTAGCGAACTTCCCTCTAAGATCAGGTATCTCAGCATTCTTGTCCTTAAGCTCATCATTCTTGACCTTAATTTCAGCAAACTTTTTCCTAAGTTCACCAATCTCAGCTAAGAGCTTGGCATATAATTCTCTCAATGAATCGATGGATTGAACGTTTGACATGTTTGATAACACTGTTTATACACAATAAATAATACGTATAACAAAAGGCCCACAGAGTGACAAAACATTTGTATACTAATCAATAGACTATAATGTCCTGGGACATATTAAACTGGAATAAGTGGACACATTAATATATAAAAGCTATATCTATATTGCAATCCTTTAGTAATTAAAGATTTCTTTTTATTCAATTTACTGTACATATGATTATACTTTAAAGAAGAATGTTAAATAAATAAATAAACAACGTTAACGTTGAATTAATTTTGATTATGGACATGGAGATTTTTTTGACGATCATTATAATTTATAGTAATCCTTATCAAAATTCACACGTCCATAACTCTAGATTCTTATTGTTTTCATTCCGAATTCTGTGAGAACGCTCCAAATTTGTTTTCTTCATATGATACTCCCTTTTCAAAAAAAAAAAATAAAATAAACAATTCAAGCCTTTTTAGCTTTTTTCGATATTTCTCAATAAGAAAAAAAGTGTTTTTCTTTAGTATTTTCAAAAAAGCGAGTATTACGTCTCTCGTGTATTTTGTATTTGTCTAATCTTTCATTATTGCACAAAGACTAATAATAACTTTCCGAAATGTAATTTATTAATATCAGAAAATAAAGTTAAAAAATCCGAATAAATCTAAGATACCCGATATTCAATTAAACCATTTCAAAAAATCTCTGATAATAAACTTTATATGATGATACTTTACATAAGTTTTGATTTAATTAGTTGATGGTTCACCCCAATGTAGCGTGGTGGATCATACTAAAAAAAATGGTCATATCCCGTGAAACACGCTAATGATGGGAACACTATATACGATTATTTTTTCACCTAGCGGTACGGTACGTCTCTATCTTAGCCCTCTTCCTGTCTGGTTCTTTATCCGAACTTATTGCCCTATTCTTTAATATTCCCACAATCACATCCAATACCTTCCTCACACCTTTAAATGATACATCTCCAAATCCTTTTAAAAACACCATCGATTGATGAAAGGTAATTTGTCGCCTTTTGGTATAACTCCGGGAGTGTACAGTAGGAAATGTCGGTCCTGGCCCGTTGTGATGATTTCATATATATAATCGAAGTCATCTTCACTCCTCCTCCTCTTGTTCGTCTCGAGCTGTTTAATATTCTGGGCGAGGCCTACAGGTATTTAATGTCTTTATTTCAGAATATACTATTATTTTAAACAATTCCGATACAGGAAGTCATTAACTCAAAATATTTTATTAGTGTATCGAATTTTAAAAATTTGATTAAGTAACATCCTCTTGAAAAAAAATTTTCCTGTTCAGAACATTAGAAAAATTTTCATCTATTAAAAAACTGAATACATTGAATTGGAGATCTTGTGCCAACAATTTGGGAAACCTTGATCCATCTTTTTCCATGTTCTTTGATTGCTTTTTTAAATAAATTTATTTCAATATCGTTCCATCTACCTAATTTAAAATTGGGATTCGTTGATGCATTACACTTATGATGTTTCCTAATATCAAACAAGGACCGATCAGGAAACTCATCCGCTATTTTACGCCAATCTTGTTTGTATTTTAAAATGGATACACGAAGTTTTTCAGTTTCTTCTTTCGTCCAAGGTTTGGATATAAGAACTTCGTATCTATTCAAACATCGATGATAAGTTCTACCGATTACATCACTTATCATTTTCCATTTACGCCCATAATTTTTAATCAACTTAAGTAGTATTTCATCTTCAATTGATTCCCATCTCAAAAGTATCTGACCATAATCTTTTGTATCAAATAATTTTTCTATTTCTTTCCATTTCCCAACTCCATATTTTTCTATTCATACTTTAAAATTTTATCCTCTTCTTCTGTCCTAGGTCTAGACATATTTCTATTAATAATACTCCATCTTATTTGAACAGCAATTGGTGTTCGTGATAATGGAAAATAATTGTCGGAAATATATTTCCACTTGTTTCCATGTTTGTTCACTGCAATACGAAGTGTTTCCAATTCTTCTTCTGTCCATCTATGGATCTTTGGTCTATTTTGAACGAATCGTATATTAGGATTTGAAATTCTACATTTTTTAAAAAAATGTATAGATGATAAATATAATGTATGAAGAAAATTCATCCTTTTTTTAAAAAAATAATAAATAAATAAATAAAATTACGTAAGCTAGGAGCATCCTTATCCTGGGCCACGGTCCAGATGCTTATCCTGGACCAGCAAATCTAATTGGATGAGATTGTTTTGTGTAACATTTGTCTTGGAAAAAAAAACAATTCGCGTTTTTTTTTAAAAAAAAGGTACGAAATGCCTTTTTTTAAAGCATTTAATACTACCATTTTAAAGTAATATGTTATTTAAAATTTGTACTTTGGTATGCATTTTATTAAACTTTATTAATAAATAAGTAAAATTGCATATATAACTTTATAAAAAAGGTCTTTACATTATTTTTTACTGTAATTTTATTATTAAAATTATTTTAACGTTAATATCAAAACAAAAGTACAAAGTAATAGTATTATATTAGCTTTAAAAGTTTTGTTATAAATGTGTAATTTACAACCTTTTTTGAACAACTTTGCTTAACCCCAAAACTTAAAAAAAAAACACTTGATTTCCAGAATAATATCAATATATCATAAAACTCTTCAAAAAGAAAATAAAAAACATTTAGTATTATCATAAAACTACAATAAATACAATTAAAATTAAAATATACAAACTGAAATGAAATATGAAATACTAAGTACTAACATAGAATAGAGAAAGAGTGAAAGATAGGAAGAGTAAGAGATAAAATAAATTATGCCGGAGTTATGTAATAAAAGGGCTGATTAGCCAATCAAAAGTTGACTGGTCCAGAATAAGCATCTGGACCGGTGGATCAGGTTAAGGATGGCCATGGACTAATGGAGCAAATGGAGTATTGTACGGTCACGTGTCTACAAGTTTATATATCGGATAATCACATTATAGGTTCCATCGGGTTAGTGCGATCAACATGTTCCATAAATTCATTTCAATTTTTTTCATTAATTTGCTTGTCCTTCTAATAAAAAAATCTTTCGTTACAATATCATGTCCTTTGTAGCAGTTGCTCAATTTTGCGCATCAAACTTGATTATAAAAAATCTTAAAACTTGCGTTGAATTACTTGAGAAAGCATCAAGAGATGGTGCCAAGGTATTATCTATCTCTTTTTATCAAATTTCATATTTTTTTTAAAAAAAAAATTTTAAAATCTAAATTTGTTAATTAATCTTATTATTTTACTTTGAACGGTAAAAGATGGTATTTTTTCCGGAGACTTCAGATTTCATTGCTAAGGATTCTGAAGAAACCTTGTCATTAGCATTATCAATCAATAGTAGTCCGTTTGTAAATGGTATTAAGGATGCTGCTATGAAAAAAAACATTTGGGTTTCAATGGGAGTTCATGAATTAGTTGCGTATTTTTTATTTATTTTTTATTTTTAATACTTTCATAATTATTGTACTAAAAATTTTTTTTTTAAAATTAGAGTCACGACCCTAAAAGAATTTATAATACTCATTTATTAATAGATTCTCAAGGATCAATCATTGAGACATATCGAAAACTTCATTTATTTGATATAAATATTAAAGATGGACCAATTCATTTAGAGAGTGAATCAACAATACGTGGAGAAAAAATTTGCAATCCTATACCTACACCTTTAGGAAATTTAGGGTTAATGATTTGTTATGATTTAAGATTTCCAGAATTATCTTTAGAATTAAGGAAGAAAGGTGCGGATATTTTAGCGTATTCATCAGCATTTACTGTCAAGACTGGACAGGCTCATTGGGGTAAATTATAAAGTTTTATTATGTGTTGACTCCTTTAAATTATGTTATCAATCTTTTATAATTATTTTGATCAAACTTTTTTTTTAGAGGTGTTATTACGTGCTAGAGCTATAGAAAATCAATGTTATGTTATCGCTAGGTAAATGAACTCACAAATTTCATCATTTAAATATAATTTACTAATATATTTTTGCTTTTTATAGTGCTCAAATTGGGCGACATAATGAAAAACGTATTAGTTATGGACACGCAATGGTAAATATTATTTGTATCTTTGTCTTATTTTAAGTTTAAATTTATCACTCATTTCTTATGTTTAATTTCTTTTCCTATAGATTGTGGATCCGTGGGGTACTGTACTAGCAAGATGTCCTGAAACAAGTGAACCATCATTAGCTTATGCCGAAATAGATCTTGATAGATTGAAAAGAATTAGGGCAGAAATGCCTGTATTAAATCATCGTAGAACTGATATATTTGGTTAACTTTAGTATTTTGATTTTATTTAGTTATTTTGTATTCTGTAAAAAAAAAGAAATATAAAATATTTTAAATTAACTTGTACAAATATGAAGGAAACTTATTTCCGCAACTTCATTTTTTTTAAAAAAACATGATCAGAAAATTCCAAAAGGTTTTACAAGAATATTTCTGGAAAAGTATTACTCCAGAGCTAACGTACATAAGAACTGGAGACAGTGTATACATTTTCCTGGAGCTTTGTATATTTTTCCAGGGGCTGTTTATCCTAACGTTGTGATGAACTAGGTATTTTCTAGGCAAAATTTTTCATTTCTGGAATGATTTAAAAATTTTAATCAAAAATTTATTTATAGGTGACATATGAGGCTGCTATATTTACTCTGCAGACAAATTTTTCCGAAAAGAGATTCATATTCTGAGAATCCAAATATTTCTGATGTACCTTTGCTTTGCTTTTGATTAGCTAATTTTCCATGTGTAAGAAATATTATCAATAAACTTGATTTTATCCTACTTAAATTTCTTTTATCTATTCAGAAGTTTTACAAAATATACCACATATTTTATAATATTTTGTTAGAAATGGAATAAAATATCAGTTGTATACACATTCTTATACAGTTCATAATTTTAATATCAAGCATCTTATAAGTAATTATTATTAACCCAATATATCTAATAATGAACATATCAGTACAAAAAAGAAAGAAGTGTTTATGGTTCTGTTTTTTTTAGTTATGAAACTTGAATATTCAAGTATACTATATATTATAATTACAATAACAATACAACTTATAAAAAAAAGTTATATATGATGTATCTTTTAGACTTTGAAACAAAATTATCAAACATACTAATTTTCCAAAATACTAAAAAAACATTGTTAAAATTGCTAGTAGTATGAGTTATTCAGTAGTAATTAGAATGTATATACATTTAAACTTCTTAGATAGCTAAATAAAAGTGTTATAATAGTACTAATAGTTTTGATGTAATTTATTGTTTCTTAGCAATTGCAGAATGACTTTTATTAGTAGTAGATTTTAAAGTAAATGTAATTTTCTTTTTCTTTTTTTCATAATAGAAGTAAATAAGTTTAGTCTGCTGAAGTCACTATTTAAATCCTATTTAATTATATTTGTATATAAATCTGCTTGTTCTTTCTTTTAAAACTAAAAGGGATGGCTTTTACATTAAAAAAATTAATTAGTTTCTCTGATTATATTACAACTTGTGATTGGTGATTTTAAATTTTCAGAAATTTCCATATTTATCGTAGTATAGAAAACAAGTCCTACATTTTCCCTATTTTATTTATTTTGTACCTTGTAACGCAAAGGTTATTTAAGTAAATAATTATTTTATTTTTATATTTTTTATATATGTACTCTGGGAAGTTCCCATTCAAAGATCTTCAAAACACTTGCAACAAATACTCTTTTGTGGTAACGATCTGCTCATACGTTTAAGGAAATACTTTGGGTGAAATTTTAAATAATCATTAATCATTAATCATTAATCATTAATCATTATTGAGTAGAGTAGCGCCCCACCCTCCCACCTGGTGAACTTGGGTTTTATTATTAGTGTAATTTCTGCTGTATTTGGTATACTATTGAATTATGATAATAATGTTACATTATTTTTTATACTTACTGTATGAATATTATTAAATCTGATATTAATTTTATATTAAAAATACTGAGTAGTCTTAAATATAATTGTTGAAGTCTTTTACTCTAAAACTTCTGAGAGTATACTGAAATGCTGAATATAATTCTTTAAAGGATTCTAATTCATAACTACATAAATTTTTAATGGTATTTATTAAAGTAACTTCTGAAATATCAGTATTATATTATTCTAGAGCAACCTTTATAAGTTCAAAAAAGAGATATTTCTAAAGTTATATATTAGTTATTTAACCTTTAAAAGGTTTACTATCAGTTAGTTATAATGCTAAAAAGTTATTTTTCATTAAAAATAGTACTGATAGTTTTTCTTGAAAAAAATGGTCTATATAATTATTGAAAAAAGTTTTCCTTATAATTAAAATTATAATTTTAAATAAAATATATAATAAATATAAGTTAAAAGTTATATTCTACATAAATAAAATCAAATTTAAAAATTTTCAAATTAAATCTAAATTAAATTACACAAATCTAAATTTGATTTAAATTTAAATTAAATTAAATTAACTTAAATCAAATTATTTAAATTAGTTAATTAGATTTAAAATTTAATTTAATTTAAATTTGAAATTTGATTTGAAATTTAATTTGAGTTTGAGATTTGATTCAAATTTAAAATTCAATTTGAATTTAAGATTTAATTTAAAAAATTTGATTTGATTCAGATTTAATATTCAATTTGAATTTAAGACTTAATTTATTAAGAGATTCAATTTAAATTTGAGAATTGATTTTAAATTTATAATTTAATTAGTATTCAAGTTTTATTAGTTTTAATTAAATTTTTTTTGATTTAAATTCAAATTTGAATCTAAATTTAAGATTGGAATTTGATTTACAAATCAAAAATTATCAAATCAAACCAAATCAAATCAAATCTGAAAAAGTTATAAATTGTCTTTTTCTTAATATAAAATCATATGATTGTGATTAAATTCAAGACACAAAAAAAATACATCACTTTTATAGTATTGATTAACCTTAATAAAACAGCTATAAGAGCATGAAATAATGGAGCTTAGATTACTTCTCTTGGAGATATACCCATTAAATAGTTTCTGGCCAATTGGAATTTTAAACAAAAAAAGAAATGGAAATGATTTCAGGCTATATATATTGATAGGAATTTTTGCTTTTATTACCACAAAAATATTATATCTAAATGATCCTATATATTTACTTACTTCTTATACAGGACCCAAACAATACTAATACAACTTACACTTGAATTTGCTTAGAGTTTATATTAAAATTTTTCAAAAGTTGCATATTACAGGGATATTTTCAAAAATTTCATTATCTACATATCCCTGTTTTTAACACAACCAGTGATTTGATTTTAATAAAATTTATATCATTGGATTTGCCTTGATAAGAGGATTCTAATAATAGTAAAATCGCATTTCTAGCTTCAATATTAACAGAGTTATGTCATAAAATATATTTTACTTCAATATAACAGGTTTTTATTAAGATCATCTGCTAAGTGTTATCACCGATTTGGTTTGGAGTAATAATTAATGTCAGAGATGTCAAATTGAAACAGTTGTAATAAAAAGGCCAAGTAATAAGATTATAAGTGTCTTAATAATATTGTAATAAAATATAAGAGTATCACTAATAATTCTCAGTAGAAAATTAATAATGTTAGTAAACAAATATAAGAATTTCTTAAAGATAAAAATCTATCAAACAAATAATAACAAACACAAAAATAAAACAAGTAAAACACACAAAAAGTTTACTACAAAGATAAAACTAACAAACAAATTATACTCAGGTGTTAACAGCTTTTATTCAAAAGAAATATTGCTTTATATATGTTTATATTTTCACACATGACAGTTTGAACTTATCAATATTATCCTATTATCTAATATGATTAATCAATCAATTGTTCCTTTTTCATTGCAATTATCTGCAAAAACCTTTCCATTACCATTTTGTATAAGTTCCATGTATCTATATGATTCATCAAGTATGTAAATTTCAAGAAACTTCTCTAGATAAACTAATAAAGCAATTTTCTAAGGTTATAAATATTAAACTGATACTTATAATTGAATACTTATGAGTCAAAAGTAATAATAATACTAAAAGTGGTTAATTAATGTAAATAACTAATAAACTAAAATATATTATAAGAAATGTTTCATATTGTAATAAACTCAGCCATTAGGATTTTCTGCGTACTACATCATGTGACTTGTTCAATCTTCAACTATTTTTCATGGGTAACCCTAACAATAATCTTTAATTAATTCTATCTTAAGCAAAAATTTTGGTAACATGCTAAGCAAAAAAACGATTATTCATAATCACCTGTATATTAAAATAACTATATTAGGTTTATCTTTAATAATATCTTCTCTCTTTCCAGTCTATGTCCACTTGATGATTGCTAGTATTTAGTATTATAATTAAATAAAGAATGCGTTTACCATAAAAAGTGGTATAGATACAGTATAGAAAAGTATTTAAGAAAAGATATAAAATGCAGATGCAAATAACGAAATTTTGAAGTTTTTGTTTATGGTTTTAAAAATTAATAATACCATGCTCATTCTAGATTTGAATTGGATAATTAATATAAAATATTTACCTTGTCTCTTCCAATAAGTGTAACGTTGTATAGGAGATTTTGTTCCTATAAATTTTGCCACCTTCCAATCATTTCCAAATTCTTTAAAACAGCTTCAAATCTCTTAATTTCAAAAGTATTCCATACGTTAACAAAAGGATTTAATTTTGCATTTGTTTGATAATATACTTTTAATAATATTTCAGACCAATTTTCACCATGTCCAATAATAGCATTATTCAATCTAATTTTTTCTTCTTTGGTCCAAGGTTTAGGCGGATTCGTAAGAATTTCATTATTTCATTAATTATATCTTTTCATTTCATTGGGTTGTCATAAAGAAAGGATAAGGAGAATAGGTATATAGTTTGATAAACAGAATTTGTACGAGTGCGCAGAAAATAAAGCCTTAAATAAAGATAATATTTAAAACCTTTTATTTACGTGTGATAAGGACTACACTTGATATCATGCGATGCGAATCGTAAATTATCATATTTGATGTTTGATTTTATTTATTTATTTTTTTTTTTCAAGATTAATAACGTATAAAACGTATAAAAATATATTAATTTCTATTAATCTCTAAAAAAATTACTAATTATCTAAAACGACGACAAATCCTTAAATTAGAAATATCTATAGTTAGATAGTTGCCAATGGATTAAGTTAAAATTTTCTTCCGTAACCATTACCACGATTTCCATTTGATCTTCCTCCTCCGTATCCATTTCCTCTACCATTCTTATTACTACTATTAAACCCACCATTCCTATTTCCACCACTTCCGTTTCTAAAATTCCCACTGCCATTTCTTCCCCATGCATTCCTTCCATTATTATTTTTATTTTCTTGTAATTCAGGTAACTCTTTAGCTATTTCCAAAGTAGTAGTCTTACTATTATACCATGGCCTTCCGCCTATACTAATAACTCCATCTTCACTTACACTTAAATGATCAGAAACAATATCGCATACAACGCCTTCACTGTCTTTTGTTAATCTAAAAGCAATAACATCATTTTCCGGTATGTTGGAAAATTGTTTTTTAAAAATATTTCTAACATAACTTCCATGTCTAATAGGATAATTAAACTTAAATAATATAGTTGTATATCCTTCAGTAGCACTCATCAAGCTTCTCTTCTTTATACCACTAGAATATCCACTTATATAAGCTAATGCTGCACTTAATGCTTCAATAGCACCTTGTTTCTCAATTAATTCTTTTGCTGTAGAATTAAAATATGGTAAAACACTTGATTCAACAGATTCTAAATTTTTTATCGCGTCATTTGCTGTAGCTGAAATAATATCTTGTGGTTGTGGAGGGCCAACCACTTGAAATTGTATTCTTGCACCTCTTTCTACAACTTGTAGCAAGTATTCATCTTGTGGTTTAAAGAATGTTACAGCTTTACCTTGACGTCCCGCTCTAGCTGTTCTACCTGCACGATGCACGTAAGTTTCAACGTCCTTTGGTGGTTCACAATTGATCACTAGATCTAGTAATTAAAGATAATAATTTGATTATTCGACAATATTAGATAATTAAGAAACAACTTGACATAATCATTTATTACTTATAACTTACCAACTTGAGGTATATCAATTCCTCTCGCTAAAACATCAGTACAAATAATACATTTGAATTTTCCATTTCTGAAGCCTTTCAAAGTTGTTTCTCTCTGTGACTGTGCAATATCTCCATGCAAGACTTGAGCATCTTGTTTCAATTTATCATTAAGTACAAGCTCTATAGGGATAGTATAAAAAAAAAAAAATATTTTTTTTTTAATAAACGATTGATATATCAAAACATATCGTAACTTAGAAAGACATAATGTAATTACCATTTGCATCGTTTTTCGTATTGCAAAAAATAACACAAGATCCCAATCCAGCATAACAAGTAACGACGTCTCCAATAATGTCTTTTCTGGAAGCCCAGGAAGAACGAATCGCATAATGACAAATATTTTCTAAAACAATAAAAAATTTTTTAATATTCTGTATAATCCTATTGAAATTTCATGTCATTTTGTAACCATACCATTAGTTTTGTTATCAGAATTTCCAACCAAATCCACATTAATATAATCATTTTTCAAGTATTTCTTTACGGTTTGTTTGACCCAATCAGGAACCGTAGCGGAAAACAATAGTGTTTGATAATCAACACCTTTTCCTTGTTTTTCTTTTTGACTTTTTACATGTTGTAAAATGGTTTCCATATTTTCAGCAAATCCAATATCTAACATTTGATCAGCTTCATCCAAACAAATAAATTTCAAATCTCCTAATTTTAAATTACCACGATTGATTTGATCTAATAATCGACCTGGTGCTCCCACTATCACGTCAGTTCCTTCACGTAGCCCTTGATTTTGGATATCATATGACTTACCTCCTAGGATAGGAAGAGATTTTAAAGTTGGAGAAATAAATTCAAATTCTGACAAAATTTGATTTGCTAAATCACGAGTTGGAGTCATAACCATAACTCTCGGAGAACGTCCACGACGTTTACTGGCAAAATTATCCTTTTGGTTTTGAGCTAAAAGAATTTCGGTAATTGGTAAAACAAATGCCAAAGTTTTGCCCGTTCCAGTCTGTAATAAAAAATATGTTAAATAAAATAAAATATATGGAAATGTAAGTTATCATGCTTGCCTTTGCTCTAGCCAAAACATCTTTTCCATCATAAATCATATCAAAAGTAGCAGCTTGTATAGGAAATAATGCTTCAATTTCACGCTTCTTTAACAAATCTATAGTTGTTTGCGACAACCTGTAAGTGCTTAATCTTAAATTCTCAGGAATCTCTTTTTCTACTCCATTCTCTTTTACATCTGATTCTAAGGAATTTTCCATTTCAAAACCTTGATCGTCATCTACTATAACTGAGGCTGGATCTTTTTCACTTAATTTGCGTTTCTTTGAATTTGGTGGCTTAGTTAATGAGGAAGATTCACTCTTTCCATTAATATCTAATATTTCATCATCATCTTGTTCTTGTTCTTCATCATGTTTCTTACGTTTTGATTTAGTTGAAGTTAAAGAAGAATCAGAATTTTTAGAATCTTTACGTTTTTTCTTATAATGTTCATCATTATCCAACTTTTCTTTTTTGATTTTAGATTTTGATTTCTTTTTTTCGTAAGTTACGTTATCATTGGGTTCGTTACTTTGAGAATCTAGTTCATTTCTCTTTGATTTTTTACCTTTGTTAAGAGCATAATTTAAATCACTTTTAACAGCAATAGCTGAAGCAGGCATTTTTTAATATTATTATTATGTTAGAGAGATATTTTATTTTATTTTTTTTTTTTTAAAAAAAAAAAGGATACTTATATCGAAAAAAATTTTTTTTGTTGATCAAAACGTGTGATACAAACTATTAACAAGTCATGGGGATACAAGATTTGAATAAAAGTAATTCTCAATTCGCATTAACCAGAAAAGAAATAAGTTAAAGTATACAGCAGATTTTTTAATTCTGTTATTATCTATTTATTTTATACAAATTGATTATCCGATTTTCAATTTTCATTACACAGGAAAAAAAAATTTAAAAATTTAAAAAATTTATTAAATATTTATATTTGTTAGAAGTATTGCTCAAAAGATATAGAAAAAAAATACAATATATAATATACAAAGAATATATAATATTCATATACAAAATTCGTTACGATTACATCTTCAGTAAACGGAATCCACCTATAGCATTTGAATTTAATATAATCAATTTGTAATTTTTCCTAGTTATTTTGATTTTTTTCATTTGGTACGGGAACCTACAAAAAATAAATCAATAAAACAGATTAAAAAAAAAATACAATAAAAATATAAAATTTCGAAATTTTTTTTTTTTTTTTTTTTTTTTTTACGAAGTTGTAATATAAATAAATACCTTATTATCATTATAAATATTCATACCCAATTTTTGTAAAATTTCTATGGCCTTAGGTTGGTTGGTTAAAGCTGCCAGTCTTAAATATTTTTTACCTAATTCAACATTTTGTGGTACACCAAGTTTTCCATTTAAATATAAATCTCCAAGATTGAATTGTGCTGTAGAATTCTGATTTTCAGCAGCTTTGGTTAAATATTCAATAAAAACTTTTCGATCAAATTTAGAACCTTGATTACCAACTAAACTAAAAGCATAACGTAATTGAGCATCAGCTAAACCATCATCAGCAGCTTCTTTAAATAGCGTAGAAGCTTGCTTACGATCCTTTTGACCTGCATAACCTTCCCATAAATAATAACCTTTCCAATATTTTGCTTTTGTACTACCCAAATTTGTATGCTCACAAAATATATCCCATGCTTTAGTTGTCTCCTTTTTTTTATGAGCTGAGATACCATCATCTAAAGTAGGAATTTCTGGTATCGAATCAAGACTAAAATCATCTTCAAATTCTGGTAAATCTTCTCCTCCCTGATCACTTACTGATACTGGATCATTTTTATATAGTGTTCCATCAAGATCTATTGTTTTATCCGGTTTAAGAGCCGGAGAATTACTCCTTGGATCATAATATTTTTGAGCCAATTTATTTAATTCCATAAATAAAAATTGAAGTGATGCTCTTATTTGTGAATCATCTTGCCAAGCTAAAGGAAGAAAAGTTGTTGTAATTAAAATTAATATATTTAATTTGAATATTAAGCGTTCAAAAAAAAAAAAAATTAAAAATTCTTATGCTTACCCGCTACTATGATTTGTTTATATTCTTGTTGAAGTTCTTCAATTTCAGGTTTATCTCTACCAAATACAAGTCTCTCTCTTTTTCCAGATAATACCCACTCTTTGATTCTTTCCATATTCCAATTTTCATAAGGAATTTTCTCAAATGCAAGCTCCCACAGTAACATTCCAAAGCTAAACAATTATTATTTTCAGAAAGATCAGAAATTCGAAATTAAAAAAAAAGAAAATATTTCGCCTTGCTCATTTTTACCTAAAGATTTCACATTTAGTATTGTATGGTTGGTCTTTTGCAAGTTTCAATTTTTCAGGAGCTAACCAATGAACAACATCTGTTAATTCTGTCATGCTTGTTGTGGCTGACGTTGTTAAGCGGGCATATTCGAATCCCGTAATTTTTGGTTCCAAACGTAATGTCATCATTATGTTTGCACATCGAATATCATGATGAAGAATTGAACAAGTGTGCAAAAATGTTATTCCACGACAAATATCAAGTGCAATCTGAACCTATTATTGAAAGAATTATTTTCGTTATATCGGTTTTTCGCAACAAATTAAAAGATAATTAAATATTACTTACTTTTGATGGCCAAGCAATATCATAGGTATTGTATACTTCTCTTAAGCTTCCTAATTCTGCCCACTCTACTACCATCACCATCTGATTATCTAAATGAGAAAGTCCATAAAATTTCAATATATTTGGAGAATCTCTTAATTTTCCAAGTATAGCTAGTTGGGCTTGTATTTTATTCGCTTGAGGAGAATCGTCTTCAGGAATCGCTCTTGGTATACAAGCAACTTCCATAGCTTTATAAGATTTTTTATAAATAAAGGGTTCCTTTTTACCACGACAATCTGTTTTCTTTCCAACTAAAGGGTCCATGATATCTTTTGGTTCAATTGTTGTCGCTTTAAGTGTTTCAGATATTGGTAAATCAGGTCTCCTTTGGTCCTTTAATTGGTCCACTTTGTTTTTCATAATAATTACTTCTTGAAGAACTGTATTTATTGTATCATTTTGTTCAATAATACCACCTTGAATCTCTTTTAAAAACTATGGCGAAATAAACGATAATAATTATGAGAAAAAAAAGTTCAAAAATAACAATAAAATAATAAAATAATTTTTTTTAAATACCTTATTCATTTGAGCGATATCTTCGTTGAGACTTTCTTGATCAAGTCTTCTTTGTTCATCATTAGCAATGGCCATAGTAAAACTTAAATCGCTCATGACAGCCTCAAATTCTTTAATTAAATGATGAAATTTATCTTTAATGGCGGTAGCTTTAACATATTTTTTGAAACCTTGAATCTGTGATACATCCTTAATGAAAGATCTAATTTTTTTCATAACATCAACGAAACGTAAAAATGCTTTATAATATTCTGAATCTCGAAATTTACTTTCATTTTCTTGTTTACGCCTTTTTAAAGTTCTTATAGCCCAATCAGCAGTTTCAACTCTATCCATCAGAGAATTGCAAATTTTTTTATTGTACTGCGCATCTTCATATATTTTTATACATTCACTTATAACTATTGTTACTGTCGCTATTAAAGGTACAAATGGTTTTATAGCATCTCCTACTGATCCTACAACTCCTAATACTTGTCTTGTTGTTCCACTTGTGCCTCCTATAGAAGCTGCACTATTAGCCATTGAAACGGCACCTGATACAAAGTCTGTTGAATTTTCTATTGCATCTCTCCCTTTCATTTTTAAGTTAATAAAATTGCATTAAAAGAGGGAGAAAATTTTTTTTCAATTATCCGTTATAAAGCAATTAAAAAAAAATTAAAATTTAAATGTTAAAAATATTCAGAAAAAGGAATGAAGCGACTTTTTTATATCATGCAGTCCGGATTATCAATTCCGACTTCGCAAATTCTTTTATAAGTTGCGAAACGCAACACAGCATTCAATCCCGTGATCATGTTTATCTGATTAAACTTTAAATGAATTAATTAAGTTGCGTAACAAATTTTTTCAGCCCTACGATTATGTATTGTAACATTAACATTGTGGTTATCCCACATCTTAAATAGAAATGTCCTATAACTTTACTTTTCTATAGGTAATAGCTTCCATAAAAGACAAAAACGATGGATTTTGGAAGTGTATTGTTTTTGGGGAGACAATATTAACGAATTCACGGTTCTGATATCTTGGTTAACCAAATCCAAATTATATTTAAAGATGAACGTTTTGCTATATCTGTTATCATAAAATATCGTATATTACACTAATTTAATTTGGGTCAAATTATTTAATGAGTAATTATACCAATTTTCAGGTTCCTACGAAGTTCGAATTGATTTTATCAAGAGATATTTTGTGTTGAGAAAAGTGTAAAAGAGAAAGAGTTTTGGTTAATTATCAAATTTCACACATAAGTTGTAACCTTAATTATAGTAGATTTATAGAAAAATTTATTTATGCATTCCGTACCGAAATTAGATTAGTAATAAGGTTACATTATTTTTCTTCAGGTTACTTTTATCGGGGAGGGATCTTTTTAGTTTCTTTTTTTTAAGAACGTTATTTAATGCTTTAGGGTTAGGGAATTATGATTAGGGTTTGGGTTTCGCTGGAGTTGTTAAATTTGATGGTGTCATTTATGTCATTTTTTGATTATAAATCAAATCAATTTGTAATAAGCTCAATAAACTAAACTCTCTCTTATTCTCTTTTTTTCAGCTCCGAGTATACAGACTATTCCGTATCAAGTTGATTAAAAGACTGAAATGAATAAAAATATAGGACAAACCTTCGTTCGGGAATATTTATTTAATCGTATTTTAAAATTATTAAAATAATATAAAATAATATCTTTATTTATATGTATAATATAGAAAGTTTTAATATTATTTAACGCGCTTATCTATGCGTATAGATACCCTCATACCCGCCTTGTTTGATCTCGCCAACCGTTGAAGAATTTCAGAAATCGTTAGATATTGTCACTATCGAGATAAGTAACAACTATTTTGCGGATAACTATAAAGTATGTATAAAAAGATTTTTTTTTTTTACTTTTTGCAACATTTAAATAATAATACGAAAATTTGACCAAATAATTAATGAGGATTCTCGGAATTCTCTGAAAATTGTAATCATAAGAATATTATAGTAATATATTGTTCAGGACATAAGCAGGGTCTACATCAGTTTGACGACATTTAATTGACCGAACCCAAGTGCGGTTATCGATGAATAAAATAACCATGAGGCGCTTGAAATAATTCCAGCCAGCATTCCGTAGTTCCGCCTTTTGACTCCCACTACATTTTTGCAAATTACTTGCTTATAAAATATTCAAATTTTACAATTTTTAACCGAGTTGTTTAAGGTTAAAAGAAGTTGCTAATTTCTCTCGTGATTATTAATCATAGAAATAATTTTATCTCATGTTTTAGAATCCGATAAAAACATTTTCTTCTTTGAATTATTATTAGGTAATGTTCAAAAAAAAAATTTGATATGGGAAGTCTATTATCTACAGCAGCTTATAGATTGCTTTTTTTAGCTGATTTTTATACCATTAAACGCTTTATTTAATATAGCATTAGCCTGCACATATTAATTAGTAATCAATAAGCAGCAAAAGATTAATTATAATTTCGGTCAATAATCAATATAAATGAAGTATTTTTAACTAGCATACATCAATTTATAAAACAATCAACTTAAGTGCTGAACTTAATGTACGAGTACATTACAGTATTTACATGTTTTAATTATTACAATATATTATTAATTATTTTTTATTCTTATTAGTAGTAATTTCATGGTAATAAATAATTTATGTTGTTTAATATATATAAATACGTATTATAAAAACTAAAACATTCATTCGATTTGTTCGGCAATGCGAACATGTTGAAAACATAAAGAAATATAAGCAACACCTTCAGAACATTCAGGGGGATCAGCTTTACCACTTGCCATTGAAACTCCAATTAATTTAAAATCATTATTTTTACCAATTGGACCACAACTAACTTTTTTAGAATCAGCTTTAATTCTATTTCCTAATATACCAGTAGATTCACCATTTGAAAAATGAAATTCAATAGCACAAAGAATTCGATAATTAAAATATAAATCTACAGCAATAACGTAATTGTATTGATTCTTTAATCCACGAATTGTGGTTAAATGACCACCTTTAGAATTTCCCACGAGAGTACCAGAACGATTGTTATAAAAAAATTTAAGGGCGTCTATAATATTATATTCATAAATATTTATACCTGTTATCATATCAGGTTTATCAGTACTAAGTTCATATTTTACTTCAGCATCATCTGATATATGAGTTCCATCTGGAAATGTATCTCTTCCATAAACTCCAAGCCATAAAGTACCAACGGAAGAAGGATTAGCGATTGTAGGATATTCATGATATCCTACTTTAAATTTATTTAATGTAAATGTGTACATGTAAATTTTCATGAATTCTGCATTCGATTCATTAAATAATCTACGCTTTGTTCTATCACATACATTAACGAAAAATGATTTATTTGGATATGGGGTTTCTACAGGCATGTAAGAAACTGATCTTTTCGTAATCGTATCAATGACTTCTCCAAATGCTTTTTTTTGTTCGTTTATTCCTGTTTTTATGATAATTTGTTGTTTACGCCATTCTTGCCATTTCGGATAAATTTCAACAAAGAATTTAATGTATATATCAACTTTTTGATGTAAATCCATCTCCCATTTTTCATCCCATTTTTCACTAATTTCAACTTCAAATTTTTGTCTTTCTCTTAAAATAGTAAGATGAATTAAAGAAAATGTAATATTAATAGGAATTAATTGTATTACATTTGAATTATTAAACAAAATTTTGTAAAGATTATTACATTGGTCGACTAAATTATTAATATAGCTATTACGTTTTTTATTTTCATAATCATCTCTATAAAGTATTAAAAATTGTAATAATTTTTTTAAATTCTTTTGACAATTTTTTATCTCTTTTTCTATTACTCCAGGTTTAAAAAGATCTTTGGAACGATCAGGTATTAAAGAGAAAATATCTGATTCATATTGAGGAAAAAATTCATCGATTAATGTGACTATGCATTGACCAAGATTATAATAATCTTGTGAAAATTCCTTAATATAATCGACGATTCTATCATCCCAAGTTTTTGACATGTTTGAGATCGAAAATTTTGGTTATTTTTATAAAGGGTCATAAATTTATTGAATTAAAGTAATTAAAGTGGGATTTTTTTTTTTTTTAAAAAAAAAAAAATTGCAGAGGGTATTTTTGTTATCTATTTAATATGTTATCAGTAAAAGATAATCCCTTAAAAGTTTCGACTGGTATTAGGCCATTTTCAGAAAACGTGGGAAATTTTGAATTTTGAAACCGTCGATCATTTTGACTATCATGTGATGTTATTAGATGATAAATGATAATTGATCGATTGTTGCACAAGGAGGCATGTCCTTTCTTTATAAATTATTTATTTATCTTTTTTGTCGATTTTCTTTATATTTTTCACGTGTTTGGAACGCGATATAAAGAGCTCAAAACTTAATAATTTGTGAGTAATTTAATTTCTCACTTTTTTTGATATTTTATATTTGTACTACTGGAAGCCCATTAGGAAGTTTATTTTATTGTTATTGGAATGTGTAGAGTATATGAAAGAGACAATTAATTGAAATATTTTCACAGAATTTAGAAAGAAATGAATTCAGAGGTATAAAGGTGTAACCGTGTAAGAACGCGTCAAAACTCAATAGTCNGGTCATAAATTTATTGAATTAAAGTAATTAAAGTAATTTTTTTTTTTTTTTTGAAAAAAAGAAGAGTATATGAAAGAGACAATTAATTGAAATATTTTCACAGAATTTAGAAAGAAATGAATTCAGAGGTATAAAGGTGTAACCGTGTAAGAACGCGTCAAAACTCAATAGTCAATTAATAGTAAATTTCACGTAATTAAATTAACCAAAAACACTTTTTGGTTTCACAGTAAATATAAGCAAATAGGTAAAAGCGACTGCAACATTGAATATGGTATTATAAAATAATACTCTTTTCCGTCTAATATACTTTTGATGCATCCACAATATTGTACATTAAGTAATGCAATTCCTTGAAGTATCATAAACTAAAACAACTAAAAATATCTTACAAGTATTATTCCAAAAATTATTGGTATACCCAAAAGCCAAGTAAATATAATGGGTTTGTAAATCAGAATTACCATCTATTAACTAACCACAATAGTGTAGTATTTACAGCCAATTTACAGCTTACATTTATAATATTACAACCGCTAAAGGATATATAATAATCGTTACTTACGCCAACCAAACCTTATTAATACCACCAAAATTTGTGACGGATAGACGGATAGTCTTGTTCATTGTTTATTACAAAGATAGTTTTTGTGATGAACAACAAATATGTATAAATAATTCATTGTAATATAAAAGTAAATAAAGTAATTGGTCCATTTTACATTAAAGTAGTGTCACATTTTAGTTTTTAGATATAGTATGAATTATTACGGTTGCAGATCATCCCAATTCAATCATGACAGAATTCAATTACTGATTGGTTTGCTGACTATTGTTATTGAAAATTATAAAAAATTGTCGATATTATAATTCTTTACTGTATATATAGTATGTAAATCATCCCTCTACAACAACCTCTAAATTGAAAAAAAAATTTATTATACCGATAATTATTTCACTGACAATCAATTTACCAACAGAGAGTTCACTGACTGGATCATTTTGCCGACAGGATTATTTCACCTAAAATCATTTCACCGAATTTATTAATATCATAGTCACAAGGTTCTTTTTCTTTTTAGTATTTTTATTTAGTGTGCACTTATGGAATTTCTATGATATATAATTATTTTAAAGCACTTACTAAATATTTGTATAAAGTGGTTATTATACTATGAAATGTTTTTTTGTAAAATTTAGAACTTGTCGGTGAAGTAGCTTCGTCAGCGAAATGATCCTTGAAACGATTGTAGGTAAAATGATCCTGTCGGTAAAAATAAATTCTTCCCGTGATTACGAATATTATTATTTGCTGAAAATTTAAATATTTCGTTGAATTAAATCAAAGAATTTTTTTTAAAAAAGTGCGTATTACATTGTCAATAATAACACAATTTTTCTTGTTGCAAAATCACATCAATTATGGTTCATATACCTTACTTATATTTAATTATTTCAGCTTAATATTTTACATACATAATTTATTATCTTATATCTTATTTTTATTTATCCCACTCTCCTTACTTAAAAATTTAAAATTTTAATAGGTGCTGTCGAAATTCTTGAATTACGGCAGCATTTACGGTCGTCGGCGCTACGGTATATATCGAAATTATTTAATATGCTGTAACCGTATTACCTAACAATTCAAAAATTTGACCGCATTCTTAAAATATTTACATAAAAAATGAAATGAGTAAAAGGTACATAGAAGAAAGGAAAAGAAGCAAAGAAAATTGAAAAAATAAGACGAGTTATAAATAATGCTTGTTATATGTATAAATTTCCAGAGAATAAAAAGTCAACGACTATAATGTAGTTGAGCGTAAATGGATTCTGAGAAATTCCCAAAATTTCGGTTGAATTTTTTTTGTCGTTGTACTCAAGTTCAGCTGCAATCTATAAATGAAAATTAAATTAATATATAGTAAAAAGATTAAAAAAACAACTAGGAAAATTAAAAAAATATATTTACCAACTTTAACTCATCTTGTGATAATTTTTCTGAATTAATTATTTCCTTTAAAAGAATTTTTATATCTTTAATTCTAATAGATTTGCTTTTCAACCTGGCGGAACAATTTAAATAACCATCTTCGTTTATATACATTATTTCCTTAAAGTTTATATAAGGTATCCACGGCATTTTTTTAAATTTTTTTTGTTTGGCAACTTCCAAGGATAATTCCTCGAAAAGATCAGATTGAAAGGAAGATACAGAAAAATTTTTTCTTAGTTTTAATTCAAGATTTCCATTAATTTTTCTAGTGTGGTTTCTCGTGATTAGAGGAGAGGTACATGATTTTTTTCTTAGTTTTAATTTATTTCCAATATTTTTACTGGTGTAGTTTCCCATTATTATTGAAAATAATTTTTTTTTTTATTTTATTTTTTTTTATTTTATTTTATTTTATTTTATTTTATTTTTTTTTAAAAAAAAAGAAATTGAGCTTTTTGTAGAATTTTCAAATTCCTGTTTGCTCAATATCCTTACTTTTTTAGCTTTTTTTTTATCGATTGCCCGATTTGGAATTGGGCAAACTTCGGAGTTGATGCACCATGTTTGAACACCAAATTGTGCCTCAATACCAAACTAGGATAAAATTTAAGGTTTGGGTTAGGTTGTACCAGTGGTATTGGCCATAATTCCGAATCTGGATATTAGTGATTCCAGCCTCAAATTTGCCCATTGGTCATACTGAGGCACTGTTTATTCCAACTGCCCCAATTTCAAATTAAGATAATGATTATTACAGTTAAACTTTAATTTAGTAATGATTTTCTATTTTAAGACAATAAATTTAATAATTTACTAAAAAGGATACTATGTGATATCATCGTGACTGGACCTTCACGGTAAATACCTTAAGAAATTCCCAGATCTCTGAAGTTCGAACAAAAAATGGATTGGATCATAAGTCGAGTCAAATGCGTTTCTTTCTAAAAAAAAGTAACATTAATTATGTTCTCTGAAAGTAAAAACATAAAAATAAGAAAAAATAGAACAAACTTACCTTTGTTTGTTCAGGTAATGTTTATTTATATGATTGACGTAAGTTACTATCACGGATTTAAATCCTTTAAAAGTTTTAGCTTGCAATTTCATAATTAGATTTAATTTTAGCTCAATACAGCAATTTTATAAATTGACTAGCTGGATGCCTGCGGGCCTGGCTAATTAAAATTATGAAAATTAGTTACCTTTCTGCTAAACTGCTAAATAAAGTATAGAATGGTTATAATATTAATTTGGAAATTTGTGGTAAATAGGGAATAAGTCTATGCATAGGTTGTGTGTGGCATGTGGTTTTACATTTTACATTGATAAAATAAAATAGTAATAAAATATAAATAAAATTTGCACTTTTATGTAATACATTTTTTTATAATGGTTATAATAGTTATAGTAGTTATTTTAAATAGGATGAAATATTTCATTATACACAATGTTTTTTGTTTGGCAGGTTTCACCATTACCTGCAAGAACTTTGATATGTTGATATGAAAAGAAACATCTCATGTACATTTACTTTTTTTTAAAAATACGTTTTTTTATTTTATTTTACATTAAATATATTATTATTCCGCAATTACTTTTTTTTTTTTGTAACATAGAAAAAGTTGAAAAAAATATTGTGTATTCTTTACTCAATTAATTAAATCTCATTTCAAATTTATTTACAGAAAAAAAAAACAATTTTTATTTGTATTACAGCAGATAAATAAAAAAAAAATATGTAAAAATATTTCTAATTTAATAAAATATTAAACTTTTTTTGCATGACCTCCGCTTTTTTTTTTATGGAGGTGTAGTTGCAGGTGTAAGTATAGATGCAGCAGATTCTTCCTGTTCTTCCTGCTTTTGAATTTCTTCAGAAGTTTCTTCAGAAATTTCCATTGAATTTTCAGTCACTATGAGTGGATATGATGCAATATCTGAGAATTTTGTTAAATTTAGTTAATATAGTTGGCTGAAATTTTTTTGTAGTAATTTCATGTTTTCCTAGTACAGGTGGGATTGTTCTTCTTGAATTTTTATGGATTGCAGATCTTGTGGCTATCATATGTGATGATGATGATGATGATGATGATGTAGAAGGATATAAAATTTGATTGTTGAATATGAATAAAACTAAAATTATATAAAACTTTTCCTCAATTGATGTTAAAGCACACTGAAAAAAAAATGGAAGAACTACATTTCAACATTGTAGTCTGACTTTTTAGGCAGCTTTCATTTGGATGGAATAATGTGATTGAAATCTCAATTGGTTTATCTTTACCAATATAGTCTGAGATGATACATTCAAATTGTATACCAAAATTCGTAGTAAGTACTGAATCTGATACCGAAGCTGTGCCTACAGCATTTATTTGATGAATTGGTAAATCCTCGGATTTGATAGGTAAAATGGTAGCAGTGACTGGATACACATGCAGATAATATGATTATAATATGATAGTATGAAATTTAATTTTAAAACAAATAATAAATATATTTAAAAAAAATTAAAATAAAGTAATTTCTTACATCAATTTGATTATTGACAGGTCCAATAGCAAATTTTGAATTTGCAATAGATAAGACTTGTCCCTCTTCCAATTTTGGTCATAGCATGGTTTGTTTTTCTTTGTTAAGAGGATAAAACACTGTAATATTAAATTCTTGGGTAGCATCTGAGTTACCCTCAAGTCTTGTCCATTCCTATAAAAAATTCACCTGATGATTTCTCCCTATATTCTGAAATATAAAGGATTGTTGATAGTTGGGTAGGCATTAGAAATTAAAGCAAAGGTGTAATTTTTTCATAAAGAAAAATTTTTTTTAAAAAAGAAAAGGATTTTTTTCATTGTGTGGGAAAATCAAAAAAAACTGAAAATATATATATATATTTTTTTTTTTTTTGATTTTTTTTCATTGTGTGGGAAATATAAAAAAACTGAAAATTAGAAAATTCGTCATATGAGAAAATTCAATAAAAAGACAATGATGATTTCTCATGTGAAGAATTTCATTGTCACGATCAAATTTTTTATAATATTTTTTTTTATATTACAATTACTGATTAGATTTTAGTTGTTATAAATTTGTTCAATCATTTATTATTATGCAGCCTAATTAAAAATTGTATTTGGATTACGGTCTGCCAAATTAAGCTAATCAATAGCAAATGGTGCGCCACTCTGAATCCTATATCTGATATAAAAATCTATAGCACAATAGCACAGGGCGCAAACACTTGATGCTGGACGATCCAATTTAAATCCACCTTTTTATGCAGGGTAGTCTTAACGTCACGGTCGCACAATGCTTTTTTTTATAGATATTGATTGATGATTGATGTTATTTGAAGTACTAATTCGAGAATGTCATTGATAATTTTTTTTACAATAATGGTAGGAAATCAATTTCAAAAAAGGTTAGAACAAATCAAAAGATTTTAGCTACTTTATGATAAAGAAATTAATGTTAATTGATTAAACAATACTATAGTATGTTATTGCACAGGGCGCTATGCTTAATAAATGTATATAATTGTACGGCTTGCTTAATTATGGTATGATGTGGCACTTCGTGCACGTCATACCATAACGCCCTATAGTAATCAGATTACAATAAATTTAATAATATTAATTTATTTATAATTAACATACCAGATACATCGAAGTTTATAAGCAGGAAATGGACATTTTGGGCATACTAAATAAATATATGGAATTGTCAATATAAAAAAATAATGATCAATATAAAGTTTTCATATTATATTCTTTTCCCTTAAACTTTATATTAGTAAAGATATGATATTGATTAAAAATGAAAAAATGATATTAACTTCTTTCACTTAAACCTTTAATGCTATTTAATTAACCGTGACTCAAGAAGCTTAAACGAGAAGTTATAATTTTACTATATTTAGTCTTGGCAAATTGTTGCACAAAAGTTATTTCACACATCTTACCTTTTACTTCGCGCTTAAACAATGATTATAATGTGATATAATACTTTTAATCAAATTCAACCGGTAGATTTTACTATGATAAAAATAATTACATACTTGCACATAATAAATTATTACTAAATCTAAGAATTCATTTCCCAACGGCAACTACAGCTTCTAATTCTTTGATTCTATTTGAAAGATATTGAATATATTATAATTTAGGACGTTGGAAGTTCAAGTGATGTATTGGAAGATCAGGTGATTAATTGCATCAGTTTGGTAAACAAGAGTTAATTATCTAATCATTATGTAATATATTTATTAAACTAAAATGGTTAGTAAATTGTAGTAAAATCTTAATCTTTACAAAATCGGCTACAATTGTAACCAGTTCCAAGCCGGTCTTCACCGGTTTTACTGGTTTTCTGTTTTAGGACTGCATATAATTGCAGACCGGAGTAACTGGATTACAATTTTAAACCGTTTTTGGAATAAAAATTGAATTATTCGTTACCTTATGGCCATAAACAACTTCATGATACAAGGCACGGAGACATACTATAATAAATAATTATATCATGAACACTCTTACGAACACTCAAATTTCAAATAATGTCGGATTCACGAATTAAGTTATATAGACGTTATTAGTCATGTGATATTATTAGTCACGTGCATAATATATGACATACACCAGAGACCCGGAAAATTTCCGATATCAAATCACAAATATTTATCACGATAACAGTAAAAATTCCGATTTATTCCGATATAAATTTTACTAATCATTATAGTTATTTATTGCTATTTTGATTATTAAAGTACAGTCGCCTCGGAAAGTATTGCATGATCACTTACAGATGGAGGTCATAATTATTCGGCCACTATGATTATCCTAGCATCCAGTGATCCGAATTTGATAAATAAAAGCTCATTGGATTTGTCACATCAAGATGAGCCAAATGTTAGTTGTGTCATATCTTTAGGATCAATAAATGCTGAGATATACCTTAAAACATTCTTTACTTGAAAATTCTTCAGAATTCTGAATTTCACAAAATCAGGAATATCTCACTATTCAATGGTCCGATTTTGATGATCAAAGGCTCATTGGATTTGTCTTATCGAAAGGCGTTGAATGATAGCTGGATCATGTGTATAACATTAGTATATCACAGGTTAATATCCAAAACGTCCAAAATATGTTTTAATGCACAATTTAGCATATATTGATTATAGAGGTATGTGCCAAGCACCATTCAACTCATCTTGATAAGACGAATCCAATGAGCCTTTGATCGTCAAATTCGGATCACTGGGTGTCAAGATAATCACAAGTGGCAAAATTATTATAACCTTCATCTTAAGCCAAAAATCAGCTAAAATTAAATAAAATTGCAACTACTGATTTACCAATAAATTTATTTGGTTTAAACCAAGTAAAGAACAATTAGAAACGATCCAATATATTGCCCAGAAGTGTGACCCCCTCCCAAGAGCTGTAGGTGAACTTAAAGCTGTACTGAGGGAAAAATAAAAATTTAAATAGTTCTGTTTTTGAAAAGGCTGCCACCCTGGCATTGTGAAAATTTGATGTAGTATGGGAAGCAAACTAGATATAAACTTTTTATTAATACATATACTAGTGGAAAAATACGAATATTTTTATTTTTGTCTTAATTTTCAAATCGTGCGATACTTTCCGAGGTGACTGTACATAATAGTAAGGAATTTAAGTGATTCTAGATTTAAATTTTGTCTATCATCATCTAAAATTTTATTATACGCGGAAAAACTTCTTTCTACTGCGCAGGAAGAGATTGGTAACCAAATATAATTTCGCGCAATTTTTTCTAAAAGAGGAAGCTGTAATGAAACTTTATCCCAAAAAGTTGATACTATGATCACAAAAACGGCACATAAGTTTTCCATTATCTGCAAAAAAATAACTTCAAAAATTTGATGAATATTTTTCTCTCTTCAGAAAATTCTTGCGCACGTGAAAAAGCAGTAACAGTGGCATTTTAACATTAAAAAAAATTTTTCGGAGACATTAAATTTATTCCGATGATCTGCATTTATGATTGGCTAATTGTCACGTGTAGGAATAAAATTATCAAAATTCACTAAAATTCCGTTTTATTCCATTATGCAGCAAAAATTCCGTTTTATTCTTTTATTATAATAATGGAATATTTCCGGGTCTCTGACATACACTAAGGGCAGTGACAGATATTACCTAATATTCTAGAGGGAGGAAGGGTAATTGAAAATCTTAGGTTACATATATACTATATAAGGAAATTACATATATAATATATCTTACCTGGGGGAGGGGGGTAAGCTCTTATAATAAACTGATATTAGGTAATATCTGTCATTGCCCTAACCGCAACTAAAATTTTCTGAACAATAAAGTGTGGTTTCAAATGAGTAGTAACATATAATCAAAGGTTATTTATATAACTTATGAATTGCCGGTCTCCTTATACAAACCGGTTCAAGCATTTACAGCTGATTTCATAATATACAGGACATACTGAGAGACAACTCGGTACATTCGGCAAAACTCGGTTAGATTCGGAGCACTGGTTCGAGCAGTGGAGCAATATACCGAGTTTCCTCAGCATGGAGTAATAATGATGGGTGTCCGTATATTATGAAATCAGCTGTAAACCGGTTTTACGTTATAAACCGGTCACCAGATTTTTCAAAAAAAATTTCCAAATTTGTCTCCAGTTAAAACGGGCTAAAACCAGAGACCGACCACAGCCACCTACTGATTTCACCTTACTTCTTACTTCCACAGCTTTGGCTATGATTAAAAATTATACATATAGACAGCCATCACCATCACTTCAGTGGTTGGACTGACAATAATTTAAATGTTCCTTAAAATGTGTAAGCTTATATCAAAAAATCAGGTACTTGAAAATTGTCATTGAAGTTTGGGAGAGTTACCGGCTCCAAAGGCGTAAGGAATATTTTTATCCTTCTATAAAACAATGCAACTATTATTTCTCATGCATATTTGACGAAATTGACATCAAATAATATGCCTGAAAAAAAGGTGAATAACTAAGATGGGAAAAAATAAATGGTAGTAAAGAGAATGTAATTTTTGTAATTTATTAACCCACTTGAAGGAGACATAGTGTATATATTAAAATATTTTCCAAAAGAACATAAAAATATGCGTTCTTGTTTATATTAAACAAACCAATGAGATATATTTCTGCAAATGATTATACCTCATATTTACAATTTGCAAGTATTCATTAGACCTATTTTTGATCGAAAATCCATTAACCAATCCTATCATGTGATCAAAATCAAAATTGAGTACTTTGATCGGCTTATTGAACGAATTAACCTTGGTCACCTTATTTTTCGTATAATAAAATTTTTTCTTTTTTAAAATATGGCAAATAAGCAATACCATAAAGGTATATTAAACTTTTTGAGGGCGCGTATTAAAACTTCACTAGACACCAGACACGTTAAAAAAAGTGATCAAAATGATACCACAATTTGTTGTTCAAAACCCGATCAAAATCCCGAACGACCAGAATTGAATAGGCCTATTGATATTATTTATTTTTATTTTCTTTGACAATTGGAAAAGTAATATTAAACAAACAATAAATAATAATATTTTAATGACTTTGACAGATTCTCAGTTACTTTATGATTATTTCAAATTGTTCAATGTTTTACAGAAAATTTAACCATCGGATCAGGTAGTTGGTAAAATACAATTTAACAATATATTGGCTTGTTCTAAGTGATAAAGCAAATCTGCTTAACAGATATATTCAGTGAATAACCTGATGGATATATATGTAATAGTTATCTCATGGGGACTAGCGTCCAATGATGGGAAATAAATAAACTATACTATAAAAACACGTGGCGACCAATTAGTAAACATGAGATAAAATTTATTTATACTATATATAATCCATGTAAGATTAATGGATTATTAGTTATTGCAACTTTACAATATCACATTTATCTAAGATATAAGATTATTCACTAAACTTTTTAGATCAATATTTTAGGGGTCGGAGGGTTAGCAAAAATTTTACATTACACTTAATAAAAGAGATCTAATATTGTAATTCACTATATCTTAAATGGGGGTGCATATATTACGCAAAGGCTCTTAGTTATCCATCAATTTTTTTTTTTTTTGGTCTATCGAGTTGAACATAATGTATTTGTATCAATATACAGTATAGTAATCTTAAATAATATAAGATATGACATAATTTATAATTCCAATATAAGAAATAGCTTTATCACGTTCTTTTTTACTAAGTGCTTTATCTGAAAAAAATATGCAAGGTTAACATACTATTCTTATTTGGTAACTAAATTCTCCTTTAAATCATCGCAATAAACCTTTCTACTAATTAAACGATGCAAACCAATTCTTAAAACAATAAAGGAACATCTCAAGGATTCATCTTCTTGTTTCTCCAATAATTCTAAATACTTTTTGCTTTGCTTTTTAATCTTCCATTCTAACAGCTCACCAACTGTCTTTAGGCTTGGTTGATTTGGATCATTAATTTCAAGTTTTAAAATTTCGTCTTCGGATTTTTCTAACAATGACGATGATATTTTAGTTGTTTCCTCCGTATTATCTTGAATTTCATTTAGTTTAATACATTCCATTTTAATATTATCACATTCAATTGCTATTCTTTTGCCTGTACTCATCCTTACCAAATCAATTATTTTCTCATCCACATTATAATTCACCCAAAATTCTGGTTTAATATCTGCATAAAAAGTAAAAATCAAAGTATCTATAAAAGCTTGTATTAAATCCTCTTCATTTGGATCATTATTCTTTAATAATTTATGCAATGTTTTTTCTACAAATTGACAGAGTGGCTCAATATCATATTTTCCTTCCAAAATTTGTAAGCATTTAGTTATTGACATTAAATCCTTTTCTTTCCAATCATAATTCTCAAGTGCATTTTCAATAAACTTCTTTTTAACATCATTATTAGGAATTTGAAACTTGTATTGTAATGAATTGGGTTGATATGTAAGAACACCATTATAATACATAAATGATAATAATGAATTTCGATCAGTTGTCAACTTGTCAATATTAGTATGGTCAAATTGCTGTGTTATATCTTCAGATTCAAGTTGATTTGATGCTTCCATAAAGATGGATTTGCCAAGAGGATCATCAACAATCAAATCTGATGCTTCTATAGAAAGTAATGAATGTGAATCAGAAGGAAAATCAAGAAGTGCTTTAATAATAACTGAAGTATCCTGATTATTATAAAAAGCCTCATCTATAAATTTCATCTGTTCCATTATTTTCTTAAAATAATACAAAACCCAAGCAGGGTTGAAGATACCTTCAATCTGATAGCGATGAAAAAAATACCCATAAGCTTCCTTTTTTAACCATTTCATTATTCCTTCCTTAACATCAGTTGACAAATCATATTCAAGAGTATTATTTAAAAGGAATTCAATTTCTGATTCCTTAAATCCATACAGGTCCCAAAATTTTATTTTTTGCGTCAAATTAATCACATTGTTAAGATCAGCAGTGCCAATAGGAATTACACCAGTTTGAAAAACACGAACTAATCCGTTATTACAAGCATATTTTAAACTACTGTAAAATTGTTTAAGATCTTGATCATTGGAATGTTCATTCACAGTAGCATCATAATTATCAATAAAAATATAAAGCTAAAGGTACATTAGAAATATTAGTTCAATTTCATTTTTTAAATAGAGGTAATGTTGAACAAATGCCAAATACCTTTCTATCCAATAAATCTGAAAAATTCTCAAATATGGTTTTTTTATTTTTATACTTAAAGTAATATTTTTCGTTAAATCTTAAAATATTTGAATACAAAAATCCATAAAAAGTTTTCGTACTGTTATAAAATTCAGAAAAATTGAGATTAAGGACACGTAATGATGATGCTAGTGGAGTGGGATTTTTGCCAATGTATAAATCACCAAATAACCGTTCAAAATTTTCTCCCTTATTATTTATATCATAATAAGAGGACAAAGTGGAGAGAAATAATGATTTTCCAAAACAATGGGGGCGTAGAGAAAGAATAGCAGGGGAATTAAGATTCTCTAATTCGGAAATAAAATGGGTCTTATCCAAATAATATCCACCATTTTGTCTTAAATCAACAAATGAACCTGTTGGAAATATTTTAAGAGGTTTTGAAGCTGATGCATTTGACAAAAACCGAGGAAAATAATGATGATGCTTAAAATGAAAAGGAAGAGGTTGAAAAACTTTATTGAAAAGCATCATTCTTGTCACCTAATTAATTTTTTCAAAATTTATTTAGGTTAAAGAAGAAAAAATTTTTTGTGCAATGATGACGATACTTAAATTAGAAATTTATAGATTGTGTACCACCACATATGTGATACACTGATACCAAGGCATTTTGTCCATTGTGTCCTGCACCATTGCATAATACTATTGAAGTGCAATTGATATGTATCACATGACGGTCTATTTAATGTGATCAATAAAAATAGATATGATTTATTTGATTTATTTTAAAAAATGTTAAAAAGAATTTTAATGTAAAAAAAGCCGGAAATGAATGGTTTCTTTGATGACTAGAGCAAAATAATTAATAATGCTGCTTTAATTAACAAAGCCTTATCTAAATTTTAATTAATTATTAATTTCTAGAAATCCTAAAATATTGATGTAATATCAATCTATGATTATATCAAGTTCCTGATTATTATGCAACAAAATGATCTGAGACAGAAATCGTTATTTATTTATATATTTTTAGAAACCATATAATAATTAAATTATTAATTGTAACAGTTTTTCAAAAAAAAAAAAAAATTCGATACTTTGTAATATAAATATGTCCACAAAATTATTTATTATTTATTTCATAATTCTAGCTATTTAGAGGTTAATGACACGGAAAAGTAATAACAATCCGTCTAAAATTATTTAATCGTTTGTGATATTGTTACATGGTATTTAAATTTATAACAAATGAAAATGCTATTAAATATCTGCATTTATAATTGGTTTTACCTTTTTTCCTCATTCTAGACTGATTAAAAAATAAACAAAAAAATACAAAAAATGTTTATTATTATGAAATATTTGAATATTATAATTTCGGAAATTTGTATCGCATTTTAACCTAAAATTATTCAATAAAACAAAACAAGAATTATAAAATTATTATAATATTGCATATAACCAAACTATAGTATTTCTATCTTGTAATATTTATAAATAAATTCATTAACATCATAACATCAAAAAATTAAGATGTACATATACTGCATATAAAAAAAGAATTTCATTTTTTTTTAAAATATATCTATTTATTTATTCTTACCAGTTTCTGTTTTTGTAATTCCATAAACTTTTATTATATTTTCATTAAAATGAACTTTTCGATGTAATTTTAACTTGCAAAAATGCAAATTAATAAATCAGTTTAAAAAATAATTTTAATTTTTTTATTATTAACTCGTTAACAAATTCCTTAAGAGTTAACTTTTGATTATTAAAAAGTTTTCAATACTAAAATAGTATCAGTGTTTTTCCAGTTAGCACAAAAAACACTTCCAATCCTAATTGTTGTATATTTTTAAATTCTGAATATTTATAATAATCTAAATATTCATCATCAATTGATTTTTCTAACCAATTAATATATTTTTTTAAATCTACAGGATTATTAATATTTGACTTTTTTTTTTTTTGAAAAAAAAGTGGATAAAAGGCAAGAATTATTTTTACATGCATGTTGTAAATCATCAATGGTTCAATAGCTTTATACGTTTTTGCATCAGCCTAGATTATCGGCCTGATATTGCCCAACATTGTAATGCCTCAAGTTGTTCGGCCAGTATTAGGCTAGGCGTCAATGCATGATGACGATCAAATAGCTTTTTACATTTTTGAAAAAAAAAATAATATCGGATATTCTAATAGTGATCGTGTATATCACAATTTCAACCATAATCTTTTTAATATACTTTTTAACCAATAGTGATAGACTTTTATTTAAATGTTGATAGACTTTACATGAATTTCACGGCTGCCCGTTACATTAAATTATTATTTTCCAAACATATATCCAGCACAAGCAATCTCGTCTTTGACATTGTCGTAATTGAATAATGTAGGAAACAATTAAAATATTTAGAGAAATCAGATGATGAAATTTTAAAGCTCAAAATTAATTATCAATCAAACCTAAATACAGTTGGTGAAAGTAAAGTGAAGAATGTTTAAAATTATTGAAGATGAATACTTGATTATTATTTTCGGTTTTAAGAGTTGGTTTGCACCGTTTAATTAACAGGAAGTGCATATTTTTTTTAAACAAAGTGAAGAAATGAAATAAAATTTATATATTAACACTTTTTAAGTTATCTATTAAATTTTATGTTTAAAAAAGATTGTTAGAAATCAACATAATTTATAATTCCAAGGTTACTCATGTATTATTTAATTACAAACATGTTAAGTTCGTTAGAACCGATAATACATTAATCTGCATGGGTTACAATATAAATATTGATATTATACTCGTATGAAAATGTTTTAATTATTCATGTATGAAATAAGCCTATTAATAGATCTTTAATTTTTACTTTGTTTCTTTATATTGCAAACTAAAAATACTATGTGAATAGTAATAAATAAAGCATAATTAAATCATTGATTCTCATACAATATGAAATAATAAATGTAACAATCCATAACTTCATAATATGTTATAATCTCTCTTTTTTGGTTTATATGCAATCAACTTAACATTATGCTTTTTCAAAAATTTATCAAAATCTCTACATTATAATAATCCCAATACTTGTCATTTTTACCTAATCCCAATTTAAATAGAGATTTTTCATTTTCTATGTAATTCAACAGATCTTTGGATTTCATAACTATACCTTTTTTTTCAATTTGAAATAATTGTAAAGTTAAAGTAGCTAATTTCAAATCTTTAAGATATGATAGGACCATTTTAATGCTTTTACTAGAAGTCTTGGAAATTGATAATGAATAAATATTTGGGCAAGACTTTGTCAAAACAATTAAAGTATCATTATTAATTGCTTGCTTAATATTATTTTCTCCGATTGTCAAAGTAGTTAAAATATGATTATTAAAAAAGCAGGAAAGAGTTTAAGGTTTTTAAATGAAGTATACAAGTCCATGTCATCAAATGTTAACCCTTTGTTATTTCTTAATACTAATATTTTTAAATTAATACATTTATCAATATAATCAAATGATATGTCGCTAAAATCACTTCATTTAATATCCCCTTAGTTAAATTATTAGCTTGAAATTCTATTGTGCTTGTGATAAAATCTTTATACTCATAATTTTTTTTCACATGATTAAGAATGAATTCATTTAGATCATTTTGTAATTTAATAAAAGAAATAAATTCTTTTTGTGTAATTATATCATTACATATATCATCTATTATTAAACTTAAATGATTTTTTAAACAATCAAAAATACCTTTTTTTCCAAGGGTCTCATAATAATAACCACAATGATGATCTATTGTAAAATATTTCAAATCCTTAATTTTATCTTGCATAATTTTTAATAAACCTTCATCCAATAAACATATACCCCAATTCAAGAAATCTAATTTTTGACATTGTCTCATAATTGATTTCATGATATATCCTTCACAACCACAATTGAGTAATCTATGCCTTATATTAAATTTCTTTTCTTTAAAAATTCTATACCATGAATCTATTGCTTTCCTTATGTCTTGAAAATTAAATTCTTGCTTTTAAATATTTTCCATATTGAAACCGAAATGATTTTTCTTGTTCATTATTAAATTTAAAGTCACTAACATTTTTAATGATTTGGTTGATTTCATTACATTCCTCTTCATTAAGAAAGTTAATATAAGTTTCTATGATTGAATACATTCGATGATTCCCATTTAAATTATGATATCTAAGATATCTAAATGGGTTTTCCCAGAGAACTGATACAGTTACTTCACTAATTGTTTATTTGCAAAAAGAAAGTTGAATAAACTATCCCCCATTATCTTTTGACTTCTTGATAATCTCAAGAATAATGACTGGATTTAAAATAGGTAAAGACATTGTAGAGTAAGAATGAAAGAATAGATTGAGAAGAGAGGGAGATTTTCTTTGACATATATATATTGTAATTCTTGATTCCGTAATTTTCCGTTGATACACACATGATAACCATTCTTAATTCAATAATTAACAATATCAGGATTCTCTGATGGATTGTTTAATCATTTGTCATCATTTGTCATTTTAGCAATACCTTAACCCTTAGATCTAAGAGTTTTTGTTATTAACTGTATTCCAATATCATTCGGTATATTGAGTGAAAAATATTTAATAAAGAATTTAGTATGTGCTGTTTAAAAAAAATTATAAATGTATATTTACTCTATGCTCATTTTTATAATTAAGTTCAACGAGTACTTGGCCAACGTGATCAACATACGCGTAATGATATGGCGCGTAAACAATCTTACATCATATTAATCATATTAATCACAGTATATGAAATTATCTATAAAATCACTTTTTTTTTCTCATTAGACTTTTTAGTTTTCAAAAGTTATTTCCCTTTTTAATTTTATTCTTGTCTTTAAATATTTATTTCTTTTAATACAATATTTCTTTAATATTTATCATTTTTCAATATTTTCTTTTAATATTTATTACAGTATAACTTTTATTTCTTAATAAATACATATGAGACTTTTATTCTTTATTGTAAAAAAGCCTTGGAAGATTTCAGATAAATTTCTTGGGGTTTGGTAAGTGGAAATGACTAAGCTGGGATGTATAAGGGATTTGTGCACCTAGAGTGCTTTGGTTATCCTCCTCTTCTAGAAGTCTGGTTACCTTAAATGAGAAAAATAACAATATCTCAAGCTATGTCGCAGACTTCTGTATGTGGGGCCCTTCCCTTTGGTGGTGGGTCTCATGTCTTATTATCAATGTGACAGTACCTCTGCACGAGTTTGATCACTCACGATAAACGTTAATGTCAGTTGATAGTAGGCATGGGGGCTTGAATATGTCATTTCTAAAAAGCTTACTTAGAGTACTCGAGTCTTCTAATATGTTTTTATTATATATTTTATTTTTTAGGATTACCTTACACAAAAGAGGTTACGGATCACCATTTCACCAAAAGGACATTTCGCTGAAAGTAGGGCCAACATTATGTAGTATTATGAATAACCCAGACCAAATAGTATTTTTCGGTAAAATAGATGAGAGATGTGGTATTAAAAAAAGAAAAGGACTGTATAAATATATATATATTTTTTGTTGTACAAGCTTTTCATTAGATGATATCAACGACTCCTGCAGATGTATAATCATGATTTAGTAATACATAGTCAATGAAAAAAAATGCACGTCTGAAATCTGTGCCAGGTTACGCCGAGTTCGGTGACAAATAACAGGTGACAAATAAGTTTTGGACCACAAAAAAAATTTGTCCCTCAGATAAATAGTGTTTTTGGAACTCGGGCTTGCACGTGATCATGTGACGCTAAATGACGCTAAACATCACCCTTACTCTAAAGCTAATATATTCGGCGTAACCTGCAGACCAGCAAAAAAAATACGTGTACGAGTAAAATGCAGACGCGATGTACGCGTTGCAGCCACCGATTTTAGTGATACGCAGTATATTACATTATTACATCAATTTATCGTATAGCTGCGCCATTACATCGGTTTCATCCTAAACTACATATAATATTAGAAATGATGATTCAGGGAGTAGTTGAAACTTATGAAAACAAATTTTTTGAGAAATAATACTTTGATGATATAAATAGGTTGGTGACGAAGCCGCGAACCACTCAGGTGACGTGGAGATGAACTACCGTGGACCGCCCAGGTGACAGAGCCACGAACCGCTTAGGTAACGTAGCGCAAATTTCATGAAATTTTTAGGGATGAGATTCTATAAGAAATTAAATTATCACTAATTTATCAATTCATTTTGAGATTAAATCACTTTTCCTCTTATTAGTCAATAAAATTTTTTAAGTGGAAGAACGATAATGTAAAATAACTATATGGCAAGTCATTATCAACTTCAATAGCCGTGTAAAAAAAGTCGAACCGTTTTTTATATTCCATCTTTTTTCCGTAAAAGGCTCATATTTCCTGTTTTCCCCATTGGATTTATACCGTGAAAAAATGACTCTAAAGTAATGATGTCCGAAAAGATCTTCTATCCATTATGTCGACTGGCCACTAAATTAGGATCACGGTTTTAATTTCTCGGGTAGACCTGTAAATGTAAAAAGTTGCAATATATTAATATGATCATCAAAAGATGATAACCGTTCAATCATACTTAGTGACCAGCACTGCCCTGTAAAAAAAAAAATGTCCGGAAATTGTAGCTAAAAACATCCAGAAAATGTCCGTGTGTCCGGAAAACGTCCAGAAAATTGCAATATTCCAGACACTTTCTGGACGCCGGGTCTGAACCCTCCTAGACATTTTCTGGACATTTTCCGGAAAATGGAAATTTTCCAACATCCGGAATATTGCAATATTCCGGACATATTCCAGACAAATAAACATTTTCCGGACGTTTTCAGCTACAATTTCCGGACATTCTTTTTTTATAGGGCTGGCAAGTACCTCAATTGATTGTGCATTTTAATTAAAAGGTGCTTAAATACAAATTCCATTTAATCGACCAATAGCAGGAGAAATTGAAAAAAATTTTAAACGAATGGAGAAGGCAGTATACCTGATGGGATTTTTGGTTAATGAAATCTTTTTTTTTTGTCCTTTTTTTTTCAAAACCAAAATTTTTTTTTAATTAGTCATTTTTTTTTAAGTTTTTTTTAATAGTGAAAAATTTTTTTAATTATTTTTTTTTTATTATTTCAGTTCAGACCGAACAAATGGGGGTTTCGGTCTTTTTATTCGATCTTTTTTTCGAACCCGAAAATTTTTTTTGCGTTTGTTGAATTTTTTTATTAATTATTAATAATAATTAACACCAATAAAGGCTATATACAGAAAATAAAAATTTTTAATTGAAATATTTAATTATATTGATTATAAACCATAAATCAGATATGTTTCTATTATACTAATACAGCTGCTTCATATTATGTCATATTATGCATAAATTTTTCTATAAATATAATGTGAGTTGTTGTTAGTGCCGAAATCCAGATGGCTTCTTTTCAGGAAATATTTGAAGGTGAAACACCTGAACAACGTAAAAAGAGACTACATAAGGAAAGTCAAACCATTATAGGAAAAGACAAAGAATCAATTATAAAGGTATGAAACTTATAGATGCTATGTTTTACGATTATCGAATTTCGAATTTTATAAAAAATATTTTAAATGTTTGGATAAAAAAGATTTAATCTTAAAGAATGTTCAGTAAAAATTTTATGACAAATTGATGAACTTATCGGCCATAATCATCATATGCAGTTTGTCAGATATATTAATTAGTTTTTTCCTACTTCTCTCTTTATTGAAGAAAGTACCCAAAGATTAAACTTTCTCAACGACTGAAAATATATATCTTTACAATAAAGCATCACGTCCCGTGATGTAATCTAAATTATATAACGGATACATACAAACATACATACAGATATAAAAATTTATATTAAACTAGAAATCTAAGCATCTACACAGTGATGTACATACTTTATAAATAACTAATAAATTTTTACATTCTTATTGTCTTATACACCTTACTAAAAATTTCTTCACGTTTGTTTGACTTTTTACCGTCACGTTACTTATTTTTTATACACGCACAATAATAGGTTATTCCCGAATAGGTGACTTGTAACAAAAGTTTTAATTATAATCAAAGATAATTGGTTGAATAATTGTTCTTTGTTAGTTTGGGAATCAAATTTTAGTTGGAAGTGTTGTGGCACATACCATAACTTCAAAACAATAAAAATTGTTATTGTTGTACAGTATGATCTGCCAATTTTTCTGCGGCGAATAAATTGGACGATCTCAAAAAAACTTGGTAACAATAACTATTGACTGCGCCGATGCGCATTGTGTAAATTAAGAATCACTTTGTTTGTCGCATTTATTTTTCTTGCATTTATCATTTTTTTTATATAAAATCAGTATAAAACACAATTTTTATCTTTCTAAACTCAAAACTTCTCATATATATATATATATATTGTTGATAACAATGTCTAAACTCATACCTGATATATTTGCTTTAATAATTAAAGCGTTGGAGGATGATTATAATACATTATTTAATTGTCTTTTAATGAATAAACCTTGGTGTGATTTAACTATACCAATATTATGGAGAAATTGTATAAATCGTAATTTAAAATCAGGACCTTATGAGAAGAATATTTCACTTGTTAAAATCCTTCTTACATTTTTATCTGAAGAATCAAAAAATATACTTATTAAGAATGAAATTAATTTATCTTTTATACAAACACAAAAACCATTATTCAATTATATAAGTTATTGTAAAACTATCGTTACATTTGATGTAACAGAAGTTATTAAAGATTATTTTGATCCACCACTTTCAAGATTTCAGGCAAAGATTTTGGAAGAAGTATTTTATGATATGATTTTTAAAAAATGTTTTAAATTATATCGTCTTAACATTTCTCATAAATTATGTTACAAGAAATATGATATATTGAATTTCATAAGATTAAAAGGAAATCTATCCAATATTGTTGAATTAATTTGTGGGCAGCATATAGATGAAAGATTCTTTCATATCTTGGCGGAAATTTGTGTTAATATCAGAAAACTTGAATTAAAAGATAGTAATAAAAATAATAATCAAGGATTAATTAAATTAATTGAAGCTCAAAATAAATTAGAATATTTCACTTATAATGGAAATGAAGGACGAAACTGGGATAATTTTTGTGAGGAGATAGGTCAAGCATTAATTAAACATAAGAACACACTTAAACATATTCATGGCAAAACTCGATTATGTATTCCTCTTACTATATTAGATTCTTTTGTAAATTTAGAAACTTTAATGTTAGGATATTTCACGAGAACTATGAATGGTCTACATTCAATTAAATTACCAAAACTTCAAGGTCTTAGGGTTTGTCACCTTACAGAAGTAAAAGAATTAATCCAAAATACAAGCGGTTGTCTTAAAAGAATTAAAATTCATAATCAATTTGCTAATAATATTAGAGCAGAAGATATTATACAAATCATTATAGCAATATATCAATATTGTCCAAAACTTGAATACTTTTGTATTCCTTTTGTTGATACGATCTATGATTCATTAGGAGATCTATTAATTAATTGTAGCCAATTAAAACATATAAAAATATATGATGGATCTCTTATTGATGAATCATTAAATGGTGATGCAGTTTTAAAAATTTTATTAAAATCAACTTCAAAAAATTTACAACGTATTGAAATAAAAGGTTCATGGAAATTCTCAGTTGAAGCAATAGAAAAATTTTTAAATAATCTGAAGGAAAGAAATTATTCACTTTATTTTGAATTTGATTTAAATCGTAATTATTTTAATAAAGAATTTTCAAATGTAATTCAAAATTTTATTGATGATAATGTTCTTAAAAATAATCCACTTAATTATCTATAAATTTTTTTTTCGAGATTGTTAGTGTCCATCCAATAACATTTTTTTTTTTCCTTATTACTTTAATATTTTACTAGGACTATCTATTTATTTAATTTAATATTTCACTTGTAGTTTATTAATATATAGAGTATATCATGTAACGACTTCACATACTTTTGTATCTTAATAAACATTTATTTTATTTTTGATAAATATTATTTATTTATATAAATTAAAAATATTATAATGATTAAAGAGAAAGTCGCCACAAATAACTTTACTTATTAATTTTGTTAGGAAAAATAAATGAAATGTTTTTCGTAAAATTTGGATGCAATGACTTACTAAATTATAGTAATATCCGTCATCTGGTTTATAATGGCCGATCTCTTTTCTCCCTTTCTTGCAATTCTTAATTTGAAGCCACTTTCGGTGGCATCTTCACTTTAAGAATTAAGCTTCATTCAGAAGTTTCGGCTGGTTTGGTTTCTTTAGCTGTTCTTGTAGCTATCAAGCTCGAAATTTTATCATTTATTTATAGCATATCACGTTGATCAAAAACATAATTCTGGCCAAATAAGTAAAGTTAAAGTAGTCAACGTGAAGCAGTGTTCGGCAAATGACTTGAAATGACCAAATGATTCAAATGATAAATGACAAATGACATGTCATTTCAATGCTCAAATGACAAATGATCTTGGTCATTTGAATGTAATTTTGGCCAGCATTATGATTTTTGCCTACACTACATTCATTATTTTTTAATTATAGTCACATGATTATTTATGTGATAAATATTAGCCAATCAAAATCAAATGATTGAAATGACCAAATGACAAATGATTATGAATAATGACAAATGATTTCATAAATCATTTAAATGGTCAAATGACCAGGTCATTTCCGAACACTGACGTGAAGCCTTTTTAGTGATCAGCTATCGGCATTTTCAAACTGTATTTCTAAGTAACCATTAACTGTTTGCTCCAATCAATATTATGATACAAATAAAATTCTTTATAAATCTAAAATTATAGATGACCGTTTTGTGAAATTAATTGGAAAATTATTGATAAATCGTTTTTTTTTCTTAAAAAAAAAAAAAGACTATCAGTAAAATCTTTTTTATATTTATATTTTTTTTTTAAAAAAAACTGTATTAATAATAACTGAAATTGATAAACAGCAAAACCAAACTTTATTCTAAAATATAATATTAGCTCGGAGCTAACACAAAGTGTTCCGTTGTCCGCTGGGTCGATAGATTGTTTCTGTCAAATGCATGCTATAAACCATATCTTGTCGGTTTTCATCACGTGGTCAATAAATAAATAATGTATGCTTTACATTTCCTAATTATGAACTCGACCTCACCAGCCCTACGAAAAAAGAATGTCCAGAATTTGTCACCAAAACTGTTCGGAAATTGTTCAATATACCTATAAAATGTCTGGAAAATGTCCAAAATTATGAAAAAATATGGTGTCCGGAATTTTTTGAAGTCCGGAATTTGTCCAGACATGAAAAATTCAGGACAAATTTTGGATAGACAAAACTGGACAAATTCTGGACACAAAATCCTGGACACATTTTGGACAATCTCTGGACAAAAAAACCCGGACAAATTCTGGTAGTTAGACGAGAAAAAATTCCAGACAAATTCTGGACAATAAAAAATCAAAAAATGTAAAAAGCAAAAAACTGGTATTTAAAACCTCTGTGTGTATATTAAGTAAACTTAAAGAGTAAGCAAAAATACTATCTATGATGTTAATTTAAACTGCTATAAACAGTTATCAGTTAGGTATTTGTATGAAAGAATATATCATTGATATCAGCATAGCGGACATCCCTATTTTATCACTGATCATTTGTCGATCATTTGCTGATCATTTATTCAATTATCACATAATATAATACCGTTGCTAAAAAAATTTACATAATAATATATGCTCAAATTTAACAAATAACTTAAATTTAGTTCTAATTTATTGTATATTAAATTTCATTGGAAACTTTTTAGCTTTTATTATTATTTGGCATATATTCATTCATTTTACGAAATTATTCACTAAATATGTTACTAATAAAACACCTGCATTATGAATCAGATCACTGCATTATTTTTTTTATAGATTCTACATAATATAAAGAATATTTGTGCAAAGTTTTGAATTTCGCCCATGCATATTCATCTCCGCCCATCAAATTTTGTCTGATGATCGGCAAAAAATTATGATATGAATAATGTGTTATAAAAATATTAAAAAATTATGCCAATAATTATATAATTAAAATTATATAATAATTCAATGCTTAGCTTATATTTCCATAATTTTTTTGCCACATTATTTTGAAAATATTTGTGGCTTTTGCAATAAATTTTAAAATTGGAATTATGTGATCGGCAAATGATCGGCAAGGTGATATAAGCATGCTATTGATATCATGACCTGGACTGACTCATGACCTGATAATAGAGACTAACTGAACACGTTCATATGTAAGTAATAAGTCGCCTATTTTTTAAAAATGGAGCCAAAGTCATCTCCGAATTGCTACAACTGAACGAGCCAGCTCGAATTGGCTTGTAAATCGAATTTGCCCTATAAAAGATATTGTCCAAACATTGTTCGGTTTTTTGTTTGGAAAATCGATCCCGTTCTGAACATTTACTTGACATTTATTGGACATTTATCATGATATTGTACGTTCTCAATTTCCGCATCTTGTATTAAATTGTAACAAATATTGTATAATAGCATGCGAGTGTCCGGAAAATTGACCCCTTTATCGGACAAACATTTTTTATAGGGTTGTTCAATAACCAATCAAAATTCGCTTTTTTTATTTAATTAACTTCAGTTCACATGTTCTAGTATCTAATATCTATATAAATATAGTTAGAGAGTGAGCCAAGCGGGAACCATTGAGCTGTTCAACAGCTAAGAACAAATAAACGGATAAATAGTTCAAACGTGAAAATTTTCATACTTTATAAAATCCTGTCAGAATAATAATAAACTAATCAAATTATTTAATTCAAATTTATATTTACAACCGTTACTTTAGAAAAAAATGCCTTTTATTTAAAGTTTAATTGATCTACAAGTGAATTTGCTAAATATATAAAGAGTAGAAATAAAAATGAAATATTCAACCTTAATATCTACTTTCCACTTTTTAATTTGAAAAACATTTAAACCAATTAAACATTTTATTTAATTTCTTAGTCTATATATATAAATTAGGTGATTAGTATAGGCTAATGATAAAATAAAATGACTAATTTGCTAAACCTTACCTTTAAGGAATTATTCGTAGTGGCTTTGTATCCGCTATTTGATGCTTTCTTAAGCCAGTAATTAGCTTGAACCAAATCTTTTCCTGTACCTATACCATATTTATAACATGATCCTAAATCATATTGTGCATTACTGTATCCTTGTTCAGCTGATCTTTTGTACCATTCAAATGCTTTAACTTCATCTTTTTCAATCCCAACTCCATATCTATAACATCTACCTAAATCATATTGCGCATTTTTATTTCCATTTCCTGCTGCTTTATGATACCAATAAAAAGCCATTTTAAAGTCTTTTGCTGTATCAATACCATCTTCATAAAATATTCCAAGTTTGTATTGTGCGTGACAATATTCTTGTTCAGCTGATCTTTTGTACCATTCAAATGCTTTAATTTCATCTTTTCCAATCCCAACTCCATGTTGATAACATTTACCTAAATTATATTGCGCAGTTTTATTTCCATTTCCTGCTGCTTTGTGATACCAATAAAAAGCCATTTCCAAGTCTTCTGCTGTAACAATACCACTTTCACAAAATAACCCTAGATTATTCTGTGCCCCACCATAATCTTGTTGGGCCGATTTTTTATACCATTCAAATGCTTTAACTTCATCTTTTCCAATTCCATCTCCATTTTCATAACATAGACCTAAATTAAATTGTGCAATTTCATCACCATTTTCTGCTGCTTTATTATACCAATAAAAGGCCATTCTTAAGTCTTTTATTGTACCAATACCATTCTTATGAAAAAATCCCAGACGACATTGTGCATAATTATGTCCTTGTTCAGCTGATATTTTATACCATTCAAATGCTTTAATTTCATTCTTTTCAATACCTTTTCCGTATTCATAACATTTGCCTAAATTATATTGTGCAATTTCATTGCCACTTTTTGCGGCTTCTTGGTACCAATAAATTGCTTTTTTTAAATTTATTCCTGTACCAATACCATTTTCATAAAAAAATCCAAGCTTATATTGTGCATTACTATATCCTTGTTTAGCTGATTTCTTATACCAATTAATTGCTTCCATTTCATTTCTCTCAACACCATTCCCACATTCATATAAAAATCCTAGATAATTTTGTGCTATATTGTATCCTTTCTCAGCTGATTTTTTAATTAATTTAAATGCTTTATTATTTTTTATCCCGTTTTCATTATAATAGCATTTACCCAAGTTATATTGTGCAATTTCATCTCCATAATTTACTGCTTTTTTATACCAATAAATTGCCTTTTCTAAATCTTTATTTGTACCTATGCCATTTTCATAACAAGTTCCTAACTTATTCTGCGCATCAATACATTCTTGTTCAGCTGATTTTTTATACCATATAAATGCTTCAGCTTCATCCTTTTTAACTCCATATCCATGCTCATAAAATAATCCTAAATTATATTGTGCTACTCTATTTCTATTATTTGCTGCTTTTAGATACCAGTAAATTGCTGCTTCTAAATCTTTTTCTGTACCAATTCCATTTTCATAAAAAATTCCAAGTTCATTCTGTGCTTCATTACAATCCTGTTCAGCCGATTTTTTATACCATTCAAATGCTAGAGCTTCATCTGCAAGTTCATGTTGATAGAGTTTGCCTAATTTATATTGTGCAAATTTATTATCAACTATTGCCGCCTTTTGATACCAATAAAAAGCCATATCTAAATCTTCTTCTGTACCAATACCATTTTCATAAAAAATTCCAATTATATATTGTGCATCATTATATTCCTGTCTAGCTGATCTTTTATACCAATCAAATGCTTTAATTTCATTCTTTTGAATACCTTTTCCGTATTCATAACATTTACCTAAGTTGTATTGTGCTACTTTATTGCTATTATTTGCTGCTTTTAGATACCAGTAAATTGCTTTTTCTAGATCTTTTTCTGTACCAATACTATTTTCATAAAAAGTTCCAAGTTCGTTTTGTGCTTCACTACAATTCTGTTCAGCCGATTTTTTATACCATTCAAATGCTTTAGCTTCATCTGCAATTTCATATTGGTAAAATTTGCCTAGTTTACATTGTGCAAATTTATTGCCAATTATCGCCGCCTTTTGATACCAATAAAAAGCTATTTCTAAATTTTCTTCTGTACCAATACCATTTTCATAAAAAATTCCAATTGTATATTGTGCATCATTATGTTCTTGTTCAGCTGATATTTTATACCATTCAAATGCTTTAATTTCATTCTTTTCAATACCTTTTCCGTATTCATAACATTTACCTAAATTGTATTGTGCTGCTTTATTTCTATTATTTGCTGCTTTTAGATACCAGTAAATTGCTTTTTCTAAATCTTTTTCTGTACCAATACCATTTTCATAAAAAATCCCAAGTTCATTTTGTGCTTCACTACAATCCTGTTCAGCCGATTTTTTATACCATTCAAATGCTTTAGCTTCATCTGCTATTTCATATTGGTAGAATTTGCCTAATTTATATTGTGCATTTTTATCCCCATTTTCGGACATCATTTGATGCCAATAAACTGTTGGTATGATGCCACTTATTGAAATCATTGAAATATCGTTTATTTCTGTATGTTGTGGATATTTTTCTATTTTTTCACTAACTGAATTAGCATAGTGAGACTTAAGAGTTGAAACAAGAGTTTGTGCATCTGGACGTTCATCTGGCTCTTGTTTCCAACATTCTAATTGAAAAGAATAAGCGTTAACAAGAAAATTTCGAAAAAAAATATAGTATATTTGAGTATACTTACTCATGTATAGATTGCTATACTCAATAGGTGTACCATCAATAACTCCTTCTCTTCCCCCTGCATATATTGCTAAGGTTATATCTATGCCATATCCTATACTTTCAAATGGTTGATGTCCACTTGATATTTGCCACATAATGACCCCAACACTATATATATCAGATTTTTTATTTAATTGATATTTGTTATCTCTAAACCTCTTTGGATCTACATAAGGTAATACACCGAGTATTTTTGATGAATTACTTGACGACTCGGAAATTTTTCTTGATAATCCAAAGTCCGCCAATTTAATATTCTTATCATGCACGAGTATATTGTTTGCATGCTAATTATATTGACAAAAAAGATATCGATTAATTTAAATTATAATAACTAATATAAATGATGATTTAATATACAAGTAAGTCAATACCAGATCACGATGAATAATATCATGTTCATGCAAACACAATACAGCGGATGCCAACTGTAATGCCAAGCAAAATTTATCCTTCCATTCAAGTTCATTAAAATGTTCGCATAAGTACGTATTTAATGTGCCATTATTAGCATATTCCAAAACTAAAGTATAATTGTTCATTTGATCTATTATTTCTGCTAAATTAAATAATTAAAGCGTTAAAGGACATACTAATTTAGAAAATAAGATGGATTTATTGATTCTTACGAGTTTCGTTCTTCGTGATTCCACAACACTTTATTATGTTTTCGTGAGTATGAACCCTCCGATGTAATTTTAACTGCAATAAGTATGAAATAAATTAACATAAATAGTGGTACTAATAATAACCGGTCATAAAATTATTGCGAGTATAATCATCATCATGTGATATAATAAGTCAACATAGTAAACATATAATGCAAATATTTTCTAAGAAACGCTACGGGAACAATTATTGAATTAGGGATTGAAGTTGATTTTCATTATTACTGATCGCGATTTAATCGTTTCCCACAAGAATTCTCGTGAGACATTTTTTCCAGATCACGTGACATAACATTCAAAGATTCGGCTAAAATTATCGGATAATTCGATTTTCGATTAATTAATCGATCCGTTTTTATATTCCAATTTTCCGTGAATAGATCCGGGAAGGCAATCCTCGATAAATTTACATTTTCAATCATTTGATCTGCATAATAGAAAAATTTATTTTCTAAATTCATTAAAATAATACTAAATCGCGGTCTCTTTATTATAAGATCGTTATTAATTAGAATTCTGCTTAATATTAGTTTTTCTAAAAAGTCAAAAATTTTATGACCGGTGACGATAAATTTCAGTAATATAAATTTTATACCTCATTAACGACTTCTTTAAGTGTTGATTTTTCATTATTAAAAGATTTCAGAACAAATATAGTATTTTTCCAGTTAGCACGAAAAACAATTCCAAATCCACCTATTGCTATTTGTTGCATATTATTAAATTCTGAATATTCATAATAATTTAAATGTTCATTAATAATTGAGTCTTCTAACCAACTGATGTACTTATTCGACATTTTAATTTTTTAATTTTTTTTTTGTTTTTTTAAAAAAATACTTCGTTAGATTTTAGATTTTTGGAAAAGAAAATAACGCAAAGTTCAATATTATGTCGATCACATTCTTAAATGTTTGAATTACTCATTGATTCATTGATTCATTGATTCAATGAATTTTAAATTTAAGACATACCATTAAATATTTCTTAGAAATCATAAACAGGACTAAATAATTACTGTGCTACGAGCGAAAGATTAAATCACTGACTAATTGGTACATATTTTCAAAGTAAATGTGTTTAATCTTATATGTAAGCACACAACAAACTGCAAGCAAGCTAACGTAAAAATAATCGATTTAAATCTGAAATGCAAATTAAGCAGAGAATAAAAAACAATAAAATAAATGAAATATGCGAAAAGATGGCTATTTTACACTGCGTCCAAAAAATCCTTTACTTTAAGTCACATTATGATAAGTGAGCTTTTTTATTAACGTTCATATTTCCTGCCATTTTTGGTGATGATGTCACTAATGCGCTTTGTTGCACTAAATTTGTCTTTCATTTTCCCTATTAGTCTTTTTTTCATTGTTACTAATGATAATCAAAATGTAAGAAAAACAATGAAAATTTTTATCAGTTACTAATAGTATTTTAAACTCTTATTAAAGAAATTATAATTTAATGATTGAAAACTTTAATAATTTCTTTGTTAGTAATCATTGGTTATATAAAAGATAAATATAGAAATAATATAATAAAGTTCCACGCTTTCACTTAAACAATGAGAGTTATCGCTCGTGTGACAGAAATTTCCAAATTCTTAGTCATTGTAACGAATAAATGCGTCTGATTATTCAATTCCTTTTTCTAATTTGGGTATTATCTGATAAACTTCGGAGTCTTAAAACAATTATTACTGTATTAGTAAATACATCGATACACAAATTGAAGCAACATAAACTATCATAATACTTACACGAAACTGTATAATTTTTATTTCTATACTTTTAATATTGTCAATTAATTTGGATACGGCGGCTTACAGGGTTTACAGAAATTCACCCTAGTTGCAAATAACTTTAATCTAGTCCGAACTAACTTTGGACATTTTACATATATAATCAGCGTTCGTTGGTCAGCACAATACGTGTAGCCGAAATTTAACGAAAATATGGCCGAAATTATTTGGTAATTCTGGTCAAGTTTGTAATTCCGGCCAGAATTATAAATCACGTGACCCAATATAGCAAATTTTTATGGTACACAAATGTTACATAATGCGGGCAAAAAGGTATAGTGCCGGCCAGAAAATTTCGGCCTGAATTTCGACGTTTCAGTTTCTGGAAATGACTGGCCGAAACCGAAAAGCTGAACCCTGAAATTATGCCGAAATTAATGAGTTTCGGCAACATGTATAGTCAGCACTACATTATATTTCCTTTTTTTTTGTTTTGTTTTCAATTAAATCACATGATAAGATATCAAAAAATAATTATGCAAATCCTTTAAATCCGAACACTAGCATGTTTACAGCTAATTTATTGCAAAAAGAATGGGTCACGCAATTCATTTTCGGTCTAGTTACATAAATTGTTAGATAAATTAGGTTTTTATTTTTAATCTATACTTGGTTCCGTATAAATTGTTTTGTACATTTGTTAAAGTGTAAATGTCACATGTTTATGTTAAGCTATAGAAGCGATTAAAAAAAAATCGTTAATACTGACAGCCAATCCATTTAATTATTTTTTTTTCTCTCTGTTTTTCCGTCAGACTTGTTCCTATTTTTTACATTTCTTATGTTTAGTAGGCGGACAGTTGCCGAGAAGCTGAGAAATATCTTGCAGTAGTATGTTATGGTAGGCAGACGGATAACTGGAAACTGAAAAGTATTTCAGTAATTGATGAAATTGTTGAAAATTATAAAACTTGAGAAGGAATTGTGAAAAAATATAAAAATTTGTTTACAATATCATTTTTTTTTTTGTATCTTGATATAAAAATAAATAAATAAAATCTTTTCATATTTTTATCGTACTTATTTTTTTTTTTTTTTTGTATGATAAAATTTGATAAAGTTGATATTTAATGCATAGTAAACATATACGTAAGAATAAGCTAACAATTTATTAAAATAAACTACTATTTTTACTGATATACTGTATAATGTAGGATATAAATCATAACATATTTACGTTAAAATTTTAACGGATATTTTTCTCTTTAGTGCATGTATCATCATTAACATAAGAATAGAATATAAATGAGATGAAAGTTTTCTGTAATGTGTTTTCATACGTAATATATAATTTATTTTAATTATAATTCATTGTTCACATAATTTCGTTAAATAACTATAATGAGAAAATTAAGAGTTGTAATAATGTTAAAGAAAATAATAATAAGTCCAAGTTGAATATAAAAATTATAATTATTTAGTTCCTTGGCTGTTTGTACTATTCTATTCAAAAAAATTTTTTAACATATAATTTTATTTACTTCATTATATATAAATTGGATTGAATTATTAGTTATAATACTATTCAAATACGAAATATAAGAAACTTTGGCGTGAAATATTGCTTTTTTCATACACTTTCATCTTTTGGTTGATCATTTTTTATTTTATCCATTGATGATTTCATTTCGTTCATTTTTGACTGCATTTCATCAATTTTTGATTGCATCGTTTCCTGTATTTGACGCATTTCTTCCGCTGATATTTGCGACTCCTTAAATATTTCATGTATGTCATTCTTTGTAAAAGCTCTGATTGAACATTGAGTCACACTTGTTGATGTAGCCAGAAAGTTTTTAGGTATTTTATCAATAAAGTAGGATACATTTCTTGTTAAGGCTATAAGCAATATAAACACGCATGCTTTGACAAAGTAATAATTAACTGGCCATTTTGCTAAAATTAATAATGTTTGAAGGATATTTGGAACATAAAAACATATAATACATAATGCAAAAACTATTTTATCCACATTCATTTTTTCATTTACCCTTTGGAAATAATGAGATAATACACTAATAATTACAACTAATATAAAAGTAGCTAAGCATATTCCGAATAATATAATAAATGTTATCGTTAAAGGAATACCAATAGTATTTTTACGATTATGGATGGTAAATATCCAAAATACTGGAGTAACTATAGTTGAGAAAAATATTAAGAATAAAGTGATAGTAGAAAAAATTTTATATCTTTCAATATCAACTACTCTTTTCCAAAAAAGTATTGCTGCTAGTGCGCAAATTACATGTAAACACATGTTTAAGGTTGAATAAATCATTATGGCCATCATTTTTCTATCATAAACAAAAGAAATTATTAGTGGAATCACCCAACTGATCACATTATGTAATACATCATCTAGTAATGGTAATGCTACGTTTTTGATGGACCCGGGTTTTCCTGAAACATTAAGCAAAATCACGAAAAATATTGGAAATATTACGTTTAGAATTGAATCATACAAATCGCGATTTGAGTCATATTTTTCGTTAACAATTGGTGCATCTTTTGTTGAAGCAAATGGGATGAATGAAAAGAACACAATATTCCAAATGAAAAAGTTCAAAAAGTTTGAAATATTATTGGTTTTCCTTTTTACAGTATGGTGTTTAATCATGATGGATTCAAAAAGTGGAAGTGTGTGGAATTATGAAATTTTTGTTTTTTTTTTTAATAATATAAAACAAAGAAAATTTTTTTTCTTGGATAATATTAATGGCGGAATCTGAGAATTTATGTTGGCAAATGTTACACCTCGTATGGCTCATCAGTGACGCAATTTTCATTAATTTTTTTTTTATATATATATAGATTTAGTTAGTGATATTTTAGATATTTTCATTTTTATTACAATTTTAGTTAGAATTTAGAGGTTATTTTTACGTTCATGATTATATAATCAGGATAATGAATTGACTGTCGATCCATTTGAGTCATGTGATCATAATGTTGGCTGAGATTTTACTACCCCAATTTTCTAATTTTAGCCTGATTTAATTTCAAAATTTACTTTAACCTTGGCAGATTTAGTAAATGACAAAATGAGATCATCATTAATGAATATCATTTAATTAAACGACAATGCTTGGTGTACAAGTCAGCCCATGGTTCATCATTTCCAATTTACTCTCATTGTAAATGCATAAGCCATTACCCTTTTTATCATAAACTAATACTATTTATTTTCTTTTATTCACCCAATACCTTCGTGTCATTTTTTGTGAATAATATAGCGGTTTATTTTTTGATTATATGTTAGGAATTTGAAATCATGAAATTACTAAATTTGGATAGTTATAGCAACTAAAAAATTCCATAAAAAGGTAGCATCATCAATTAATTTTGCACTCATGTAACATAAATAGGACAGTCCCTGGAATACTTGGTTAATACATGTAGTGACTGGTGACGAATTGGCAAATTCAATGAAGTCATACCATGTGGAGTAGAATGCACACTAATTTATATTGTATGACTTCTCTTTCCATTAAATCACAGTTATGTCATTTCTTTATTTTCAGGTGTCCAATTTAAAAATTGTACTTTTAGATAATTTCGAACACAATGTGCAATACGATGTGGCTAAACATTCCTGATTCTAATTTTCGCAAATCCTTTCTATTTCTTCGTTATTCATAACTTTGATTCGATCATAATCATCATTTACTGTTTAAGAAACATTTCGTTGCAAAAATTTTTATAATCATTGAATATTATAACCAGTACTTGCCCTATGAATGATTACGTGAATTAATTTTCTTCAAATAATTGACATGTTTCTTATAAAAGTAGTATAGTTTATTCTGGCGAATTAATTACGTATTTATTAAATTTATTAAATTTATTAAATTTTTTAAAATTCAATTTGTTCGTCAATCGTAGATATTTTTTAGAAAAAATAAAACTCAATTATATATTTATATTAATGAAATAATTTAATAATTTTACTGGTTAATCGTTCGTGTAAATTATAATGATATACATAATTCTTTTATATCAGTAAAACAACTTTAAATTAAGCAATGCTTGGTTAATTGAGCATATTTTTAATCCCCTTATTTAAAGTAATAATGTCAATGATAATTTAAAAGCGTGCGTTAGTATTATAATATAGAATACGTAATTAATAATATTAAAATTGTATAAAATTTATTAGTCGCAAAGTAAAAAATCTAAAATATTTGTGAAAGATAACATAGCAACAATTTCTAAAATCCATTTTAGATGTTAAAAATCGTAAAAAAAAAAAATTTTAATAGGACTATGATAAAATATAATACTTTTTACGAATACAAAAGCTTGTAGTTGCGCAGCAATAATTATATTTTATCACGCAAAACCATAGGCCTTTTAGTGAAATATCGAAATAACATTTATTTAAAACGACACGTGGATACAAAGGACAAGAAATATATATAAAAGGGTCAGGTTGAGTTTGCGTAAAAAAATCATGAAAATCTTTCCTTTTTGAGATAATTTTTGATAATGCCAGTCAGAATTTATTTCCTATTATAGTAACCGACTGACATTATTATAATTCCGGCCTTGAAAAAATGAGTACAGCTCATAGTAAAAAATTTTTTTCATCACCTGACCCCTATATATATATTTCTGGGTCCTGGATACAAAAGGAATACAGTACGTTTGAATTTTTAAGGATTTTGCATAAAAATGTTTAGAGAATAAGGCCACCGGTAGTGATGATCACCGATGGTGAAATTATGATGTAATGCCGGCCAGTATTTTATTAGGGTTTAATTCTGGTCGAATATACATCATAATGCTGGTACGGTGACCATTACCGCCGGTGAGCTTTAGAAATTTAATAATAACTTTATATCGCGAAATTTTACATTTTCTGTGAATGGATCCATAAAAGGCTCATTTTTGCGGAGTTTTTACAGAAATAACAGAAAAAATTTTTTATAGGGAATAATAAATAAAATAAATAAAATAATAAAATATAAAATACAAAAATGATAAAAAAAGAAAGCTTAAAAAGGGGGTTTACATTTTTGGTAATTTTTGCTAAACCAATTTTTGTAAAAAAAAAAAAATTAAAGAGCTTTGTAAGTACTTTGACTGAATATGTTCATTACACCAATAGTGTTCCAATCCGTCAACCGTTCATCCGTTTGAAATTCGGATATTCGTCATCCAATCAGATACTAATCGGATGTGACGGATCGGATGACGGATTTTGATTGGATGAAATCAGATCATCTGTCAGATCCGGAACCCTTATACTGTAAATAAAAAAAAGATTTTTTTTTTGTTGTATGGGATTTACTAGGTACAGTACAATCATTGGATACTACTTCTTGAGGTAAATATTATCAGAAATATTATCGACATTCTATACGAGTAAATACTTTTATTAAATAAGAAAAAAATATCCTTGTCTAAGTTTTCACGCTCCAGAAGTTAAAATCACCTCTTAAAGTGTCCATTTTGAAAAAAAAAACTAAATAAATGGACATTATAAAATAGTCTTAAAAATAAAAAGCACCGTCCTTATCTAAAATTCACTTTTCAAGTCAAATATTTGATCCAAGAGTGTTTATTAATCATTCTTGTATGAAAAGGGAAAAAAAGAACATTGGTATTATGCTCTTGTAAAGAATCCTGGATTTCCTTTCGGTAGCAGTTGTCTTGCACTGGAATAATTATTTGTAAAATTAAAATTTTAAAATCAAAAAATATGGCACAACAATTAATTAATATAATACGCAAATTTTATTTATATGATAGATTAGTTTACATAAATACACGTTATAGACGTGAAAAAAGACTTGTTTTATATAAATTTATATAATTTCCTAAGCAAGGCACTAACTATATTTTGAAATCCTGTTCAAAAATATTGGGGAAACAATTTCAAAAATATATGAGCTAGAATTTTTTTTGTTTTGCTGTAATTTTTTTTTACAAAAAGAAGCTAGAGTTTCCAAAAAAAAAACAAATATCCAAAAATTGCTCGGAGGATGTCCGCAACTTCATCCATATGTCTTCAGGAATGATATTTGCGTATATTTAATTTATTATTTTTTTTTAGTTAAAATTACACCGAGAGGTTCATTTTCACGCAAATATAATAAACTTTTATGAAATTACAAAGAAAGAAACTAGTAGGAATCGATGAGCGCATTTTCAATTATTCATTAAAATAAATATAATTCTCATTTAAATATATTTTTTTTAAATTTCATCCAGGTATAATAAATCAAATGAATAATTATACTTTAGTTTTGGAGTATGCTGATAGTGGTACATTAAAAACTTACTTAAATGATCATTTAATGAACTTGAATGGAAGGATAAATTTGCTTAGAATTGCAGTTAGCAAACACTGTGTTATGTTTGTTATGTTTACATGAACTTGATATAATTCATCGTGATCTGGTAATAATTTGATAATGTATATTTATATTTTCATTTTACAATTATAATTTATATTAATCGTTATTTTTTTTGTCAATAAATAGCTTGTATATCAGAAGTATATTAAATTGGAAGACTTTGGATTATCAAGAAAGATTTCTGAAGCGTCAAGTAATATATCAAAAGTACTTGGCGTAATACCTTAAGTAGATCCAAAAGATTTAATATAATAATTATCAATTATATAAATAATCCGATATATATAGTGTTGTAGTTAATGTCAAGTGGACGTCAACCATTTAAAAATATTGAGTATGATAAATTTAACTTAGCTATACATGGAGGAAAAAGAGAAGAAATTATCAATGAAACTCCTACTATTGAATATAGTAACATGTAGACAAGTAAGTTTATACTTTCGATATACTGTACAATATACAAGCACATTATGATAGTGTATAATATATTTTCTTTCGTTTATTTATTTTTAATTAGAATGTTGGAGATATGAACCAAATGAACGTCCAAGCGTACGAAAGCTTGTTTCAATACTTAAATCAATTATTCTGAAAAAAAACTCTACACTTGTTGATGACATTTACCGGAAAATTATGAGTAAATTCCAGAAATACCGAGTTTACACATACATGCAGTTCATTGGCATCAACTTGCAACAGAAAATGGCGACTGATAAAATTGCACAATTTATATTATGAGAATAGATGGTGTTAAAAAAGATGAAGTTGAAGCTTTGAATGGTATAAGATCAGCTGAACAAGAATATAGCGATGCGCAAATAATCTTGTAACTCTTATTTAAATGGTAGAGGCACAGAAAAAGATTTAAAAAAAGCAATTTATTGTTGGAATAGGAAGGCATCAGACCCTATAAAAAATTTTTCAGAAAATTGATCACGTGTTCTGAGTTTCTTCGGAATAAAAACTAGAAAAATGATGGTTTTTTCCAGAATTTTTTTTATAGAGAGAAAATGAAAATCCAATCGCACAATATGATTTAGTAGGCAAATATTATTATAATGGGAATGGCGTTGAAAAAGATGATGATAAAGCACTAGAATGATATAAAAGATCAGCTAAATAAGGATATAGTAATGAAATAGACTTGGATTTTTTATGAAAATGGTATAAGAACAGAAAAAGATATAGGAAAAGCAATTTATTGGTATCAAAAAGCAGCAGATGAAGGAAATAAAATCGTACAATATAATTTGGTATATGGAAATGGCGTTGAAAAAGCATTTGCTTGAATGGTATAAAAAATCGGCTGATCAAGATAGAGTTATACACAAAATAAACTTGGAACCCTTTATAAAAATGGCATAGGAACAGATAAGGATTTGGAAAAAACTGCCCATTGGTATAAAGAAGCATTAGATAATGGATATAAAGAAGCTAAAGAAAATTTGGATAATATAGAGTCGAGATCACATGTAAAGTTCTATTTCAACTAAGCAAAATGTTTTTACTTATTTAATAAATATTTATTAACCAATTTTGTTAATTAAGTATAGCTGATAGTAAATAAATTATTTTGTCAAACTTTTAAACCAATTTTAAATTCATTATAAATTTGAAACATAGGAGGTTTATTTAGTAACCTTCTTATTAAAAAACCATTTATAATTTAATTTAGATGTAAAATATACCGCAAGATTAAAAATTATATTGCAATAACTTTATTATGTAATATAAGAATTTTTAAATAAAATAATACAAAACATGTTCTTAAGTATAATCTATTATGTGAATCAATTTTTAATCTCTTTATCATAAATGTAGTAATTAAATTTTTTTAGTAAATAAGGAAACATGCGTTAACGAGTTATGGTTAGGAAATTTTTCACGTGCGACACTTCGATTTTCACTCACTATATCACATTGTCACATTGTAAAAGGGAGTTTTTAATTAAACGCTATACTGTTCAAAAATCCTGGAAGTTTCAGAAGTTTCAACTATGAAGCACCGTTCTGTTACACACGCAGAGTGATCACCCTGCAAAACGACGCAAAATGGATTACTATGAGATATTGTATAACCATTGTACAACCATCACTTCATTTACCATTGTGAAAATTCGGTATGCGAGTTCCAACAAATATAGTTACTAAAAGTTAAAAATTGAACCTGATATTTCATTATCCGACAATCTTCTACTTTTCTGATGATAATTTTTGGTTATTGTCGGCTAAAAATTGTATATGGCAAAAAAAAAACGCCAAGATGCCAAGATGCCAAGTTGCCGAACGTCATTCTCGTTTGAAAATATAAATAAATAACTTATAAGACCAAAAATTTTCTCGAATTTAAAAAAAATACAAAAATATAAAATAAGAATCATGAAAGACTACGTAATAATCTTTTACAGAATTATTAGTGCACTTTACTTCTTTACATGTGTCGGCACAGGTATGAATTTTTACAAATAACGTTAATACATTTTAATATTTAGTTTAATAAATTTAATAAACTTAATATTTTTTTTTTAAACAAAAAAAAAAATAGAAATTTGGTATTTGATATCTTTAGGTGGAATTGGAGATGTTTACGACTATTTGTAAATAAATAAAAAATTATATTTGTTATTTATTATTACATTATTTTTATTTATGTTTACATTATTTAATTTTCTATTATTTATTTATTAGTTATCTTCTTGGAAATATAATATTAATAGTGATATGTAAGTAAATTGTAAAACATAGTATATTTTTTATAACGTTACAATATATTAACTTATTAAATTTATTTAGTTCTATTTGTCATGAGACTTGATTGGGAAAATCTAGAAATATGCTTTTGGTAAATATAAATAAATTACCTTTTTTATTAATCAATTAATTATTAATATATTTTTTTGTATCTCTTAACAGTGCTTCATATTATATTCAACTTATAATGCTTCGTAGGTTTTTTTAATTTAATATTACATTTTTAAACGTATTTGTTTTTAATATATTTCATTAATTAAACACATATTTAACTTTTTTTTTCATGCTAGTTATAATTTTAATTAGGTCTATTATTGGTGATTATCCATTTAATTGTAATTTTCAGGGATCAAATAATGTTAAAATCGCGTGTAAAGTAAGACTTTTCATTGGAACGTTTTCACTTCTGATTCCATTACTCCCTTTTTTAGGTTATAAATTATATTTTAAATCAAATGGAATTTTTAACTTTATAAAAAGTGATATTCTTGTTCTATAAATTTATGTATTTTATGTATTTTATGTATGATACACTACCCTCCCAAAAGTATCCGGTCAACCAATAAAGATCATATTTTATTAATAATAATTAATATTTAGTTACTAATTTTTCTGGGGATCATATCCATTGCACAAAAGCAAGCATTGATAACTCATTATTAAGTTCATATACAAAGTAATATAGTAACATCTGATCATAAATTCACGCTCTTCGAAATCAACGGTTGCTCTTGGTAAATGTGCATTTTTGTCAACTAAAAGTTTTGCCTACATAATATTAATTATTAGTAAAATACATTTAACATACTATGATATAAGAAACATTCTTACAGCAATTGAATAGTTATTTCGAGCTATATCTCCTTTGTGATTAGCAAGTTTGAGCCAATCAATACTCTAGATTTAGTTCGCAAATTGCCATACTTTTGAATATGTTCAGAAATTACCTAAAATTTTGTCAATTTTCATAATTTAAAATTAATAATATTAATGTTTAATTACATAAAATATAAAAACTTACACCTATATCATTTATTGCCAAATCTAATACAGTTGTATAATGATCTCAATTATTTTTTCATCAAGTACTTTAAAATAGATCATGTTTATACAGAATCCTCTTTTTTTTTGATTCGAATATAGTTCTTTGGTACTTATTAATTTTTGGTTTAGTTTTATGCTTGTAAAAAATTTGTATTTTTTTATCTCACTTTTTTTTATGACTTTTGAAGCCTTCAAAATATTGATAACGCAAAGGGAGCTTACACATATTACGTAATTATTATGAAAATATTATGTTACACTAAATAAATCATATGATTTATAAATATTGGGAAGAAGTCACAGAAATTATTTCTTAATTTTTCCAAAATTCAAAATTTTTTTCATAGATATACTTAATATGGATACTTAATAAAATCTTTTACTCAGAAATTATAATCGTAGTTTCGACGACAAAACCGAATTTTATCAAATTACCTTATGTTCATTTCATGGATATTCTAACATATTTTACTTTATGAACCCAACAACTTTCTGTACAACCTCAATTTTATTAATTATGCACCAATGATATCATCACGGATTTATGAAATACCCCAAAATTTTCCTGTCATGTCAAATTATTGACAGTATTTTAGTCACCAAATTTTTGTTAAGTCCCCAAATTTATTAGTGGCAGTCAAAAATGAGCCCAAAAATTTTTTTGTACCCAAATCTTGCGTCTAACCAATTTTCCTACTATCTAACCCATTTTCCTAGTATTAAAGGCGCGTCATTCTTTGACATTTTTTAGGGAAAAAGCTTAATCGATATCACGTTTCTGTAAGTCAATTTTAATTCCCGAGGGCGCAGAAGGGGTTTTTTCCAAATTTCATAAATCCGCCGCAATGTAAATTTTATTATGAATAGTAAAACATGTCTCAGCTAATGTTCTAGAAAAAAAGTATTCTTGCTTTAAATACCTTTATACATAAAACAGGTGTAGTGAATCAATACGGTTTTCCTAGATTAGCTTTATCAAAATTAGCGTAAAAAAAGATTCTTGAAAAATGCTTGTGCCATGTTGTTATTTGTAAATTGTAATTAGGATAATAATTTATTATTTATTCCCAAAATTTCGCGCGTATCATACTAACCAACTGGGTTTGGTACGAAATCCCGAAGCTCAGAATCCCGAAGGTATAATATCCCGATATTCAAAATCCCAAACAAATAAAAATACCGAAATGTTATAATCCTAAGCCCGATACTTCATAAGCTCGAAATTCAAAATACCGAAATGAAAAATCTTGGAAATTTATTAATAAAAGAAAATTCAGTATTATAGGATTATGATATTTTTGGATTATGAAATTTGGGATTAAGATTTTGTCAGGATTTTGAGTGTCGGAGTTATATTGTACCGAGCTTCGGGATTTTGGACGGATCCCAACCAACTTTTGGTTAGCTTGATTGCTGTAAGATGATCAACATTTTTATGGGTTAATCATAAGGCTAAAGAAAAAAAAAATAATGAACCTACTGTATAGTTACATATTTTATTTCTATTTCTTTTTTTTTAATTAATATTAATTATTATTTTATTATTATTATTTTATTATTATTTTTTTAAAAAAAAATAAATAAAAAAAAAATAAAATAGAATGTGAGGAAAACGGAAAAAAGGTTTAGCAAATTTTGACCAGCCCGCGGTCGATCGGTGAGTTTGGCGTTCGATTTGATTACTAATACATAATTTTATTTAAGTTTGCACCGTTTGCATCTCTTTTTTTAGTTTCAAATAATTTTTTTTTTTTTACCTTTTCTTTTAAAAAACTCATTTTTTTAATATTTTCAAACTTCTAAAGAAATTTATATCATGTCAACTATTCAAAGAGAATCGGTTTATGCAGCAATTAATAATGCAAACATGTCAATTGATTATAACGTTCATGATGATATCCACAAACAAAATAAATTTATGGTAGAAACTATCATTGTTGATAATTCACTTACAGATGACGAAAAAACTGAAGCAATAAAAATATTAAATATTGATTATGATCGAAATAAAGTTAGAAATAATGAAGGAACAAGAAGAATTTGTGAAAATTGTAATCAAGAATGTTTAGCTACATTATACTGTGAATTTTGTTTTCGAAATTATTTAAAATTAAAATTTTCAAATTGGACATCCGGGAATGATAATATAGATAATTTAATACAAAAATGTCAAATGGAAACTTATGTACCATATAAAATAATTGAATGGATTCCATATGATAATTTAAAGGATATTAAATATCTAACAAAAGGTGGGTTTTCTGAAATTTATACAGCAATTTGGATTGATGGAGAATATGAAGAATGGAATTCTAAAGAAAAAAGGTTAACAAGATGTGGTTCTATGGATGTAGTACTTAAAAGTTTAGAAAATGTTGAAAGTGCAAATCAAAGTTGGTTTGAAGAGGTTTGTAATTTAAATTATACAAATATATTTAAGATTAAACAGGGTATTAATATTTGATTTATAAATTGTTATAGGCTATATCACATTTGACTATAAGTAATATGTATGAAGAAATTGTCAGATGTAATGGCTTAACACAAAATCCATCAAATGGAAATTATATGCTTGTAATAGACAGGATGAATACTGATTTAAGAAAATATTTGCAACAAAATCATAATCAACTCACTTGGAAAGAAAGAATTAAAATTACATATGAGATAACTAATGCTCTTTGTTCTATTCATGAAGAAAATGCAATTCATAGAGATTTACATTCTGGAAATATATTATATTCAGAAATAAATGATTCCTGGTATATTAGTGATCTTGGATTTTGTGGGCCTGCTGATAAACCAACTAAAAGTATTTATGGAAATCTTCCTTATATAGCACCTGAAGTTATAGCAGGAAGAGAATATACCTTAGCATCTGATATATATAGTGTTGCCATGCTTATGTGGGAAATTTCTTCTGGACAACCACCATTTATAAATTATGAAAATGATTATTATCTTGCAACAAATATTATTAATGGTATAAGACCAAGAATTGTTTCAGAAATTCCTTTGGAATATAAAAGTTTAATGGAACAATGTTGGAATGCCAATCTATCAGAAAGACTTGATACTCAGACACTCTTTGATAAAATGAGTGAAATTCATTTATTGTGTCAAAATAGACCAGATGAATTAATTCAATCAAAAACAAAAAAGTATTCAGGAATAAATGAAATTAATAGTAATTATACAGGTAGCAGATTATTTAAAAGTAAAGTTCATCAATTTGAAAATTTTCCTGAACCAAAAAATGCTACAGAAGGTAATATTTATCTACTTAATTTTGCTTTATTTATTTTCTAAAACTAATATGATTTTGTTTAATTTAAATAAATAGAAGAACAAGAAGGTATAAATTAATTGATTATAAATGATTTTCTTACTCCATTTGTTAATACTTTTAATTTTCTGAAGCATTCCATAGTAAATCATATTGCTTTAGCATTCCTTATAATAGTAAGTATTTATCAATTTATATTGAAGTGTGATGGTATTTATGATATCAAATGATATTGATTGAATATTTTTCTTTAGTTGACGATTTTAATAATCGGGTTCTTGAAGGTAATTTTCCTAAAAAAAGTTCTTGATTTCGCTTTTATGGATTAATTAAATGGACCATTACTTTAATGGTTTTTAGATAATAGTAAAAGCAACTTATCTAAGGAATTTAACGAGTTACAAATAAATGGTAAATAAAATTAATTTTATTGTTTGCCAATTGCAAGTATATTGTTTTAATACTTTCTACACCTTTTTGTTTAGATATTCAAAATAATTATAATCGGGAAGAAATATTGTCACAGCGAATGATGGGACATCATATTAATATTGATGGTATGACAATTACTATGACATAAATTATTTTATCCCTTTATATAATATATAAAATATATAATTGATGTTATTTATTAGATGATGAAGATGAAATATATAATAATCCAAATTTTCATTCAGAAGAGCAAGATGAATTTAATATTCCTGATGGTAAGAAATTATTTTTATAATTTTCAGAATTTTCAAATTTTACATGATTTTAAATTACTAAATTTTTTTTTTTAATAATAATTTTATAGACCTCTAGGTTATTTAAATGCAGATGTATTTTTTTATGAATTGATTTTGTCAAAAGTTCTTTTTACTAAATTATTTAACCACTTGAATTCATTATTATATATATATATTTTGTTTAATTTAACGCTAACAGCCCAGTCTAAAATAACAAAATATTGGCAAATTTTTTTGTTTGTAATTTATTATTTTAATATAACTGATCAATAAACATATTTCTAATACTGGCTGAAACATTAACATTAAATTATTTGTTTATTCTCACCCTCTCCTATTTTTTAAAAATAACTATTATTTAATAATTAGGATTTAGATCAATGTTTTGCATCAACTGATAAAATTTATAAAAAAAATGGTTCATTTTCAACAGGTTAAAAATGATTAATCGAACTCGCGGTTTATTTATTTATTTATTTATTTTATGAAAAGAACAGCAATTACATAGTTTAAAAGGCCATCTATATCGAACTCGTATGTAAAATTTTTTTATATACTATACAAATCTGTCATGTGATTAAGAATATTAATTTTTGCCGGAATTAAGATTTTAATTATCACCAAAACCAGCATAAATTATGGGAAATTCCAACCACGTGATTACAGTTCAGAATTTTTTTGTAAATAGTAAATCAATAAAAGTTCGGTATATAGTGGTCCCATTGATCGCGACGTCAGAAAATTCTCTCACACAATTACAGATCATAGTTTCGTCTTTGACGACTTTCTGGGCAATTTTTCACTTATTCCGATTTTTCAACATTTTGATGTTAATTCTATTCATTGGGCGCTTACAAAAGATTGGATTCAACATAATTCCACTTCAGATATCTGTAGTGAATGTAACTCAGCATACCAAGCTTTCAAAACCAAGAGCTTGAACTACATTCTTCCATGTGGTGATGTCCTGCTCAAACATTACCCTAACTTATACCCGGACAGTGGTAAACCTTGCCCGATATGCTCAAACCATCCGGAAACTAATAATCATTTAGGATTTTGTGCCAATCTTATACCTTTTATTAATTCCACTTTAAAAAATCACAAAAATATCCTTATTTCATTTATTGATTCTCATACTCAAAAATTTTACTCCCTTATTCTAGACAGTGTTAATCATTACACACTCTTTGATGACGTTTCTGGTTTCTCTCATGAAATTTACTTAATTTTACATCAACTTGTACCTCAAAGTTTGTACGACTTAGTTAATTCGTTCACCTTTAATATGAAATCAACACATTCTATTATTTTTGAATTTTTTCTGCCTATTCAACAAATTCTTTACAAAACTATTTGGCCTCAACACAATTCTCTCCTACGTGCTTGGGAACGCACACAAGGTATTATTAAAAGAAAAAATGACATGTTAGACGTCCTCCTAAGAACCGTACATCTTCGACCACTCTTACCCATCTCTGAGCCCTCACGTGGAGGCGACTCCTTCACCTCTTAACCCCGATCCGCCGATTACACCTCGTGAACATCCGTTCACCTCCAGATCCTCGGTCACGCTTCACTCTACCAGGTTTCCGTCTCCTTTGTGGTTTGTCCTTATTACTTCTAATTATTTACATTCAGGAGCGCGAGAATGGACCACCTTTTTGCGATATAATAATTATATAGATTTTTTAGATGATAATAATTCTTTTTTTGTATTTTTTTCTTTTTTTTCTTCTTTTTTTCTTGTTCCATTCTTCAACAGTGCTGGTCATGCCTAGTGTTGTTGTTTTGTACAAAATATCAGGCAGGACGATCTCTTGCTTTCGTGGAGGTTGGTTCTTTCATTTAGATTGGGGTTTTTTTTATCTCTTTAGTTGTTTAGCTCATGTTCTCGTTAGGCTCCCGTCATTGTATAAATTTTTTAAAATAAAATAAAAATAAAATAAAATTTTAAAAGTTCAGTATATAGTATTATATCAAGTTTTATATGAAATAATATGATTAAAAAAAAAGTTTTATGATGGTTCGTCATATCGAGAATCAGGCTGTATCAGAATAATGGTTAAACAATTTGACTGATAATTACTTATCTCTAGTCGCTATTTTTTATTTTTAAAACATATTAATAATGGTACCGTACAGTAATTCATAAAATTACTTAGTAGTAGCGTTATGTATTAATGTACTATTAATATTTGCAAATTTGCTAAATATATTTTATTATTTTTTTTTATGCAAGTCTTGTTTAAATTAATTCTTTTGTCATATCGTGATGAATAATTATAGTTATTACATTATACATAAAAAACACAAATTAAATTTTTCTATACATAATAATTACTCTTTATTCAATAGAATAATTTCTGCTATGTTATTGCAATTTTTATGTGTTTCAAATGAACTTTTTACTCAAAATACTTGATAAAGCGTCTTTAAATATAAAAAACAAGTGTATAAATTTTTAAATTAACAAGCTGAAATTATTCTACTTAAACGTAAGTGGGTTAGTTTTTATTAATTAATATTAAAATTCTAGTGTTATACAATTATGATTAAGTTATTCAGTAACAAAAATTTGTAATTATATAACTGTTAAACAAAAATTACTAGTCCATCAAAATCTGTAATAGAATTTACAATTAACATTCATTTATTTTATACAAAAAAAAAAAAAATTAGTAAAATTTGGAATGGTTTATTAAGAATTAACTTTTTTTTATATCAAACTTTTTTGAGAAAAGTGAAAATTTTAAGCGAATAATTTAATGTTAAGACCAAATTGATTTTGCATAATAATTTCAGCCTACATTATGATAATTTCAGCTGGTACTATTAGTTTAATCATTAAAAAAAATGTTATTTTTCCATTATAAATATTTATTTAATAAGTTATAACAATTACAAACTCTAAGAAATTTGCAAAATATTTTGCTACTCTAATCTTAATGTTGGATAAAAAATATAACGATGAATTATCCAATTACAAACTAAGAAACCTGCAATAGATTTTGCTACTCTAGTCTTAGTGTTAAATAATTGTTAATAAAAAAAATTTTGACAGAATAGTAAATTTCAGTTGTAAAAAAAAATCACTCATATTTAAACAATCTAAAGATCTAAAATTCATTTATAAAATATTTTAGTGAATTAAAATAAAGTATTCTACTAAATTTTAGAGAAATCAATTCTTACCATCAGGTATTTCCAATTCATCTTGTTCTTCTGAATGAAGATTTGGATCATTATACATCTCATCTCCATCTACACAAAAAAAATAAATTTTTTAATATTAATCTTTATTATATTTTAAAGGCCTAAATAACAAATTTAAATTATACCATCAATAACAATACGCTGTGGCATTATTTTTTCTTCATTATAATCGGTTTGAATATCTTTATATATATGCACTTATTTAATTAGACTCTTGCAGTTAGTGAGGAATAAAATTAATTATACTTACCATTTATTTTTAACTTAATAAATTCTTTGGATAATTCACTTTTACTATTATCTATAAATAAATAAATACTTATTCATTTAATTGAGTTCAATAAATAAAAAAATTTTATATAAAATAAAATTACCTTTGGAAATCTGACTATCAAAATCATCAACTAAAAACAAAATTTAATTAATATCTTGTTGCAATTTATACAAACTGATAAATATTTACCATTGTAGGGAATAGTGAAGTTATATGATTTACTATAAAATGCTATAAAAAAATTGAAACATTAAAAAAAAAAATTTATAATTAAAAATAATTTTTTAAATAGAAAATTATTAATTCAAACCTTTTTGTTCTTCTATTGATGTTGATATTTTAAAAAAAAGACACATTAGTTGCATTATATGAAGCATATATTTTAAATTAAAATTCAATAAATCAAACTAATAAATACCTTTTGTTGCATTTCTTGGTTCAGGAAAATTTTCAAATTGATAAACTTTAGTTGTAAATAATCTGCTACTTGTATAATTCATATTTGTCTTATTCATCTCTAAGTCATTACTATTTACATTTGATTGAAGAGTTAACTCATCTGGTTTACTTTGATACAATAAATGAATTTCACCTATTTTTTCATCAAGTGTAATAATATCAAGTCTTCTTGATGGATCAGCATCCCAACATTGTTCCATTAATTTTTTATATTCTAAAGGAATTTCTAAAACAATTTCCGGCCTCATACCATTAATTATATCCATTGCAAGATCATAATCATCATATTTATAATTAATAAATGGTAGTTGTCCAGAAGAAATTTCCCACATAAGAATTGCTATAGTATAAATATCAGATTTAAAAGTATAATCCTTTCCAATAATGACTTCAGGTGCTATGTAAGGAAGATTTCCATATATGCTTTTTGATGATTTATCAGCAGGTCCACAAAATCCAAGATCACTAATATACCAAGAATCATTAAATTTTGAGTATAATATATTTCCAGAATGCAAATCTCTATGAATTGCATTTTCTTTATGAATAAAATAAAGTGCACTAGTTATTTCATATATAATGCTAATTCTTTCTTTCCATGTGAGTAGATTATGATTTTGTTGTAAATAATTTCTCAAATCAACATCCTTTTTTCTTATTACAAGCATATAATTTTATTTGATGGATTTTGTGTTAAACCAAAACACCCAACAACATCTTCATATATATTACTTATAGTTAAATGTGATTTAGCCTATAATAATTTACAAATACATAAAAATCTATTAATTTTAATTACATTAAAATAATTTTAACTACAAACCTCTTCAAACCAACTTTGATTTGCACTTTCAACATTTTCTAAGCTTTTAAGAACTACATTGATAGATCCAAATCTTATTAATCTTTGTTCTTTAGAATCCCATTCATCACATCTTCCATCAATCCAAATTGCTGTATAAATTTCAGAAAATCCACCTTTTGTTAGATATTTAATGTCTTCTAAATTATCATATGGAATCCATTCAATTATTTTATATGGTACATAAGTTTCCATTTGACATTTTTGTATTAAATTATCTATATTATCATTCCCAGATGTCCAATTTGAAAATTTTAATTTTAAATAATTTCGAACACAAAATTCACAATATAATGTAGCTAAACATTCTTGATTACAATTTTCACAAATTCTTCTTGTTCCTTCATTCCTTCTAACTTTATTTCGATCATAATCAATATTTAATATTTTTATTGCTTCAGTTTTTTCATCATCTGTAAGAGAATTATTAGCAAGAATTGTTTGTTTTTTAAATTCAAATTGCTTGTGAAAATCATCATGAATGTTATAATCAATTAACGAGTCTGATTTATGAATTGCTGCATAAACCAATTCTTCTCGAATAGTAGACATAATAAAATTTTGTACAAAAAATATTTATTTCGAAAAAAATATATTTTTTTTTTTTTAAAAAAAAAAAACTAACCGTGTAACTATAAATATGAACGCAAATTACACAAAATTTCAAAATTTGTGAAAGTAATACAACATAAAATTTAAGAAATATGACGTAAGTCATGCAGATCAAAGATATAAAATAGTTACAGTATGATAAGTCTTGATAAGTTTTTTTTTATTAAAAAAATCCAATCATATTATAAAAAAAAAGAGAAAACGAGCATGAAGTTGTATTTTATAAGACAACAATGGCATAATTTTATAAATATTACTTAAGTATGATAATGACACTTATGGAATGGATAGTCAATCGGAAATGTTTTTGCATTATTTTTAACCTAAGTAAATGTTGCATTACTTTTCAATAATGTTATTTTACAGTTAATACACATTAAATGGTGATACAGTAAATAAACAAATGAAATCCCCGAATTCTCTTGATTAATTTTTAGAAAAAAAGAAATTTGATAATATTGCCATTTAAATTTCTGAAAGAGTTTGAATTTGACTGACTGATAATATTGTACGGTAAAACTCATAATATTTAATAATTAATCGAATAATATTATAGGCGGACATTAAATTTTGAATTAATATTAATAATGTAAAATTGAGTATTTTACGTTACAATTAAAAGAGTTAAAAAAATAGCTTACAATTTTATGTGAAATAAAATAAATAAAATAGAAATTTCATTTTCACTTAAGACACTTTGAGTCAAAATAATAAACAAACAATATCTGTTCTTCGACATTTTAAAATGATGATATGATTTTCGTTGATTCTTGTACTTTTTGTAGCACGTGGACGATTATAATTTTTGGTATGTTGAATTAAAAAATAATATTTTTTTAAAAATTCGATTTAAACTTTTTTAAAATGGAATAATGTGTAAATGTGTAGTTTGTTGAAATAACCATATTAGATATGTGTACATGATATCATAATACATGATTTTATCATTGTAAAATGAAATCATGCAGATTTATTTAGACCGATATTTTTTATTAAGCATAATAATAAGGGAAAGTTTATATAAAATTTATAAAGTGGATTAGAATAGAATGAAACTGAAAATTTATAGAAAATTTATGTAAAGCTTATTAGATATTTCTAATGTTATAATTAATGAAAATACAGCGTGATCAAAAAGCGTCAGTACGATAACAAACTTTATAGTTTACGTGGCTCATTTTCAGCCAATCATTCTGTCTCGTGACCTATATAGCTACTTTCCAACCAATAATACAGTATATATATTTATAATGTTCAAATTTAATAAATTTAATTATAAACATAGGACATTTTCATCAGTGGACGAGACGGTCTCTTAATCGCTTATGCAGGCTTATCTCAGTTTTTATATTCTGCTTTAAGTACTTATTTACTATGTATTTATGGTTTGTACTGGACATAGGTTCTACTATCGATAAAAATAAAAATAAAATAAAAAAATTGATATAAATCCTTAGATATAATTATATTAATCCAAACTTATCAAAGATATCAGATTACTGTATTTATATCGATTTGATAAAATGTATATATTGAAACATTTTTAAAATTTGAAATTGTTTTAAAAATCAAATCTTTTTTTTTTTTAGTCATCCTAAGATAATATTAATAAATTTTATTTATATTACTGTTTAATGAAAGTATTATATTATAAAATGTTTGAACGGTAAATTAAAAAAGGAAATAAAATTAAAGATAAAAAAATATTAAGTGTTTTAATAATGTACTAAACTCATTATCATTAAAAAAGACGATAGTCTGTCTTATAGGGTTGTAAAAGTTTGATGTCCTATTAATAGTAACTATTAATATTACAGGATAAAGTTTTTTTGCTAGCGTATAAACCGACTTACATAAAGTTGGGAGTAAAGTGGACAAAGAAAATCATTTAAAGGAACGAGATTCGTTAGAAAATTAATTATTATTTGAATATATTTGTAAATGAAATACTAAAATTTCTTTTTTTTTAAAAAAATGTTCGTAAAAAAAAAAAATAGGATTATCTCGATGATGTTCGTAAAAATAAGAGATTATGAAACAAATCAATAATTAGCCACATTCTAGACACTAGGGGCTATAATCAGAGTATTTACATCAGGAGGACATCAGTGTTCCATATAAAGTAATAATAAATAAATTCGTTCGCTCATTGTAAATGAGCCTATCATGTTAAATTTCATAAAAAAAAAAATAAAAAATAATTTCTAAATCTGATCGAAATAATAAATAAAGATTTATAATCACAAATTTTTTGGTTATGTGACATCACACGATATAAATATTTATACCAGGTGGCTAAACATGCCAAGGTGTCAAAATATTCTACGTTTTTATGTTGCATAAGAAATCTAAATCTTAAATACGTTAATTTTTAGGTAAAACAACTTTTGTTACACAACTTTCAACCGAGAAGCGAAATAATCAATATTATGAGAGAAAAAATCAACCTACATGTAATCGGTAAAGTTCGGAACATAAACGCCACTCTATTGCGTAATTCGTTAAGATTAATTTAAATCACAAGACTTAACCCCGAGTTTAACTTTTTGAAGTGAGTCACTTGACGCTTGTGACATTCATCATGCCTTATTATCACCGTGTTTTATTTTGTGTATATTATATCATAACGAATTTACTTTGCAAAAAATCTTTATAAAATGGGTAGAAATTTTCTTGAACTTCACTTTCTCTTTAACCTTATGATTCATATTGTTCATAAAAATAAAAATACAAAAAAAATACAAAAATAATTCTCTCTTTTTTATAAAAAAAAAAAAAAAAAAAAATTAATAATGTCGTCTTTAAATCAAGAAGTTCAAATGTTACACCATGAAGTTGCCAATGGAATGCAACTTTTTCCGCCTCCTATAAACAATCCTAAAGATTTTGAAGATACTGTTAAGTCATTTAAACCAAAGCCGTCTCGCAGAAAAGTTCACATAATGTCTCTCACGCTATTAAATTTTTTTATCAAGAAGCAAGCTCAAAGGATATACAAAAAGTGCGTTGTAGATAAGGTTGTAAGAGAGTTATGGAATTCTACAACTGCAAACAATAAAATTATATATAAAGAACTATGTAAACAAATAAATTCAAGGATTAATAGTAGAATTGGAGGTTGAAAAATTTGGACTTGATAAGAAAACAAAACTATGCTATGATATAATATTATTTTATTATAAAAATATTTTCTTATATGAACAATTTTTTTTTTATAAATTCTCCTCTTTTTTATTTCATTTATAGACAAACATTGATAACTATCGAATTAGTTATAATAATATTATTTTATTTTAATATTATTGTTTAAATTAAATTTAAAAAAAAAATATCATAATAGGTAAACGTATTAAAACTAGTTTTTTTCGGCAAAATCTGAATATTTAAAACGTAATTTTCGTAATTTTCCTCCCCTTTTCGACAAAACTGAACTTTTAAACATGTAAATTCGGCAAAATCTAACTTTTTTTAATTTGTGATTTTCTTTTGTAAAGTGATACGATTGAATTTTATAATAAAATGTGATATTTTAATATTTTTGAAAATTATAATTATGCATTAACTGCGATGTTTCCCCAGGTTACGGAATTACCCGGCGTAAGAAATTTTACAAACAAATAAAACAAATAAAAATTTATTCAAAAATGTATGGCTCGATCAAGTGACAAAAAATGGTAACGTTACACTAAAAAGAAAAATGCACGACACTTTAACGAAAGTTAGAGAATTAATACAATCTATGCATTTTCTTTGTTTTTTTTTCTTTTTTAAGTGTAATTTTGTATTATGCGTTACGTTAACTGTTAATAAAGAAATGCGTGTTACTAATTAAAAAAAACCAAAGATAACTCCTTTATAGATCATTATACGTAAAGGTACTAAAATTCTTTAGCGTTTGTGCGTTTATCAAGTCAAGAATATCTTTTTGTTATTGTATATTTTGTACATTTGCATATTATATAATTTTGCATAATAAAGAACCAATTGATTTTCTTAGAGGCGCTGAAAAATAATTATAATAATAATATATTTCAACATATTCCGAATTTGATTTGGATTAGATTGGATTTTTGATCACAAATCTAATCTAAATTTGTAGGTAACCCTTGTGCATCAACATCGGCCGATTTATTAATTATGAATCATATGTTTGTATCAATTACCGACATATTCGGATATAACGCAAAAAATGTCTAATCATATTTGTTATTTGGAAAGGATGATCCAAAGTATTATTTGACATCGAAAAAAAAATTTGTTTACTAGAAACTAAAATTTCATATACTATAGTATTACTAACACAGAAACATTTGCGAATTGTGATACTGAATTTTATAATAAAATAATATCAGACCACTATTATGTGAACCAAAACATATGATTGTAAAAGCCACATCTGTAAAAGGAAGTGTGACACAAATTATTGTCGCATGGAATTCTTTATAATGATCCTGATCGGCGAAAGTGATGCCATCAATGTATGTACTATGAATAAAGCAAATAAATGATTTAATTGTAACACGTAAATAAAACAATTGTTTTTTAAATATTGACAAAAAAAAGGAGGTTAACATTTCAATTATTACATCGAATTCTGAATATTTATAATAATTTTAAAAAGGAAAATGGTTCATTTTGGAAAATAAGGTCGTTCGTGCTAATTGGAAAAATACCGATATAATTTTATTCTAATAATTTAAATCTGATTCTTAAATTGTCAGATATTTAAATTTTTTTATTTTTTTTTAAGGTGCTCCTAATTAAATTAATTTGTAATTTATATTTATAATTTAATCTTCTACTTTGTTTGCTTAATAATTGCATGTTCATATTAATGCGAATATAATAAAATACTATGGAATCACAACGACAAGATATAATATGTAATTTATTAAAATAATTATATTTTTTTTTTAAAAAAAAAAAATGTCAAATTTTTATTTCAGGAAAAAAATACTAGTTATGCTTTAGTTTTGGAATATACTAATGGAGGACACATTAAAAATTAAAAACTTATTTAAACGATCATTTTTAATGAACCTGAACGAGAAGTTTAGCGTTATAGCTGACGATGCTATATTATGTTTATATGAACGTATTATATTCATCGTGATTTGGTAATATATTAACTTTTAATGAATTAATTAACTTTGTTTAAATAAATTAAATTAAATGGTATTTGAACTTTTCGCCAAAGTCCATTTCACCGAAACCCCATTTCTCTGAATTCCATTTCGCCGAAGCCATTTTATCGAATGGAACATTTCGTCGAATGGACATTTCGCTTTATTCCATTTGGTTATTTTATTTGTTTTTATAATAAATATATAAAGAAATCATTTCTAGATAAATTTTGAGTTAGCTGATTTTTATTAAATTTTACTTCGTTGTTTATAATATACAGTATGTTGATCTTTTTTTTACTTATTTTTTTCGTGAATAAATGTTTTCAGGAAATAAAGTTATTTATTTATTGCTTAACAATTAATATTAGTTACTTGAAGAAATAATATCCTGGAAAAAAAAATCTCTAAAATTAATTTAATTTTTATTTTCATTGCGTGATGAATATTTTTTATAAAAATTGTTAATCGCTACGAAATGTCCATTTGGCAAAATGAAATTCGGTGAAATGAATGATTCGGTGAAATGAATTCGATAAAATACACTTTCGGCGAAACGTCCTTTCGATGAAACATCACTATGGCGAAATGGCTACGGCGAAATGGGTTTCGGTGAAATGAACTGTAACCAAATTAGATTAATACTTAATAATTTTTACTTATAGTATCTTTGTACATTAGCAAAAATATTAAATTGACAGACTTCTTGCTTATCAAAAAAAAAAAAAAAAATTGCCGTAGCATCAGGTCTATACATGTTGCCGAACCTCAGTAATTTCGGCATAATTTCAAGTTTCGATCTCGGCCAGTCATTCAACTGAAACTCTGCCGAAAGTCGAAATCCAAGCCGAAATTATCTGGCCACTTTTATCCGATGTCACGAGATTTATAATTCTGGCCGGTACCACAAATTTGGTCGGAATTACCAAATAATTTCGATTTTCGAACCTTTCGGATTCAGCTATATTTTCGGAAAATTCCGGCTAAATGTATAATCAGGTCGTAGATCAAATGTATTTAGAGTACTAATACCTTATATTAGATCCGAAAAAGTTTCAATATTTAATAACTAAAAATTAAATAAAAAATCTGATACCTACAAAAAAATTTCTATTTGATATTATACCGATTTTTTTTTCCAGATCAGCAGGCTTATTAGTAAAAAATTAATTCATCAGTAAAAAATCACTCATGAGTATTTATATAAAATGAGTCAATCACTGTTGCGCAGTTGCGCAGTTGTGAAAAGAAAAATAAAAAAAAATCAATGATCATTTGTTTTGATGATCTCATCATTCATACCTCAATTTCAATAAATTTTTCAATAAATTTTAATAATTTTGGACTGAAAATCACAATAATATTCTCATTTTACGTTTTTTTTTTAATAAAAATGGACATCAAATTGATAATATTAGTAATTGAAAACAAATTTATCCATTATCCGTATTGGATTAAATTATACTATCCGAAAGTCCAGGCGCATCGGTAGTACTGGGCAGCATTGATAATTACGCGATTCCACATTTGCGATTTTTTTTTAACCTATAAATATGAGTATTGTTCTCTTACTATATACCAATGTTTAATGACGGACCTGCTGACGAATTAATCTGGATTTATCCGTGATGGATGATGCATCCAGAAAATTATCTGTTATTATTTGGGTTCAGAACAGATTTAAAGCATGGATGGATTTCACTATGTAACTATGTTTTTATTTACTCAATTAAATTTTTACATATTATGAATCATATGTGTATTTTGAATAGAAATTGGAATCGTCCAAAAAAACCTTAACTAGTTAAAAACCGGTTAACCAAAGTGTTTAACCAATTAATTAATCGGTTAATACTAAAAAAAAGATGTTTTAGAAACTTTTTGATTGCAAATTGTGTCGATTTGATTTTATTACATATTATATTTAAAAAATTTCGAATTTGGCAGCAATTGGCGTGCATTATACTATAAATCTCACCAAAATTATGATCAAAAGTTTTAGGTGGTTAATCGTAATACTTTACATTATCTGATTGACAGATTTCAACCTCTAATTTTGAAGTTTATGGTAAAACAATTGACGATAATTTTGCATATATAAATTCGCAGCTAACCTGAAAAATATTTTAAATTTATCAACAGTTACACCGGTTAATAAACTTAATCATCTGATACATTCACGTGATTTCATTTTTTCATTTTTTCATTTTTTAAAAATTTTGTTACGTTACCTTAATGTTTACATAATTATAAAACTTCATTATTATACTATATCTAGAAAACATTTAAAATATGTATAACCTTTTTTAAAAATAATAAAGTAAATAACGTATAATCGAATAATATTTTATGTTAAACAAAATAAAATTTTTGTTATTATTTTACTATTTTTATATTTTCTGTTTAACTTATTTTATCTTGCTAACATAATTTTTTCACACTACACACCATCTAATTATCTTTTATGTACGTTAAAAATTAACTTCTTTATTCATTATATTCCATTATATTCCATCAGTTTTTTTTTTTAAATAAACATTTTTTTAAAAAAACCAAATTTTTTTTTTTAAAAAAAAATGCGAATTAAATTAATTAAACTAATTAAATTATAAAAATTATAAACGCTACTCCATCTAATTACCCTCTTACGCAGGCTAAATTACTTCTTAACGCAAGTTAAATTACTTCTTTGAATTATCTCTTATGTACGCTCTATAAAAAATTTTTCAGAAAAATGATTACGTGTCTGAGTTTCTTCGGAATGAAAACTAGAAAAATGATCATTTATCGGAGTTTTTTCCAGAATTTTTTATAGGGGACGTTAAATTACTTCTTTAAATTATCTCTTGCGCACACTAAATTATCTCATACGCACGCTACGATTACCTCATACGCACACTACGATTAGAAATATTCTCTTTATTATTATTAAAATTAAAATATTTTTCGTAAATTGGCCCATGAGATCGAAAAAAAGATCTACGCCGGTGTAAAAAGGGGTAATCACTTTAGTAAAACCATTCATCATTGGCATTGACGTGAACGTACTTTGCGTGAACATGGCGTGAACATTGGTGTGAATATACTTGGGTGTGAATAAAATTGGGCGTGGGTATACTTTAACGTGAACATACTTGAAACAATGAAACATGGATAATACTTGGAGGGCATAAAATAAAATTATTCAAGATACAGTAATACCAATATCTTTAATTGATTTATCACCTTTGGTGTATATATTTTGAAATAAAAATTGTTGGAGCGCTTTTCAAAAGGGTTCAATATTTTTTTGGTCTGCGCTACCTTTTCTTAACCGCTCCGCCCATTTTTACGAATTTCTTATAAATGAATAATTGAATTAATTAACGAAAGTTATCGCAAGTTATTAAAAGTAATAAGGTTTTTTAATTCACCTGGTCGGTTCCGCCTCTTTTTACGAAGTCGGCTCTGCGATAGAATAAGTCATATATCGCAATTCGCAAGTCATCAAATTTACAAGGTTTTACTGGTGCCTCTTTTTACGAATTCCTTTATTTTTTTTTCTGGTCGACGCTACGAATTCCTTATAACTGGATAACTTGGTCGACTCTGTGATAAAATAAGTCATAGTAGTTAATGCAAGATATCGAAAGTTATGGTCGACGTTGCGAATTAAAGTTTAATTCACCTGGTCGAGTTCTGACGTTACGAATTCTTTACAATAGAATATCGTAAGTTATCAAAAGTTATGTTTTAATGAGTTCCGCAAATTCTTTATCGCAAGAGGTCGACGATATGAATTTTTTTTATAATTGAGTAACTAATCATATGTTATCGTAAATTTCTACAATTACATATTTGCATAGGGTAGGGTACCATCATCTTTCAACTACACCTTTTCAATTATTTTCAACATTTTTAAATAAACACATAAAAAAAAAAAAATTTTTTTATTATAATTTAAAGTAACTGGCTTGGGTGCAAAAATTACCTTCTTGACCCTTCTCGCATTACTTTCTTGACCCAGTCAAAATATGCATGATTATGTATGACAAAAATGTTCCTTTCTTGACCTGAAACGCGATTGTGATAAACAAAAAAGAAATTTTATTTTTTATTTATATTTAACAAAAATAGCGTGCAATCTGTCTTTTGCGAGTTGCGAGCATGGTCAATACTTTTTTATTTCTACAATATTGATAAAATTAAAATAATTTTATTTTATTTACAAAAGATAGCTGATAAAAAGATTACATTTAAGAGAAATACATTAATTAGGTAATAAATACTAGCATAAAACTAAATATTAAAATATTAAAATAAAAAAAAAATAAATTATTTTGTCATTTAATCATTAATGATAAAAAAATTTAATCTTTGTGTATATCTCTTGAAAAATTATGAAAATAAGAAAAATAACAACGCGTTAATGTTTTTTGCAGGTCAAGAAAAGAACATTTTTGTCATACATAATCATGCATATTTTGATCAAGTCAAGAAAGTAATACGAGGAGAATCAAGAAAGTAATTTTTGCGGCTTGGGTAACGTAAAAAAAAAAAGGTAAATTAATGATAATCTTTAAATGGGATTGTTTTTCAGCCATTATTGTGGCTAAAAAGTTTTTATTAAATTCTTTAAAGTTTTATTACAAAGAACAACCATACAACCAACACTTGACATAATAGAAAATATTTTAATATTTCAAATTGAACAAAGAATTGATAATCTCTCGATTTTATCTATCAATCAAAAAAAATAAAAATAAAAAATACATATGTATGTATTATGTATGTACATATATAACAGGTTTTACATTTCATTTACTAATATAGAGTAATAGTCAAGGAAAAAGTTGTTCGTGATCATATTCATGTGTTCAATATAAATCATATATAAATATATAAATATATAATATATATATAAAATATAAACATTCTACATTTTTTTTTATCTATTTGATCTAAACATTTTTTTCGTCATTGAATAAGGTTAAAAAGGTAAAAATGTATAATCAAATAATCAAATACATTAAATATATTTAGAAAAAAGTTTCGAACCAATAAAAAATTAATGTTTTGATTCATATTCTCATTGAACACACATACATTTGACACAATATTAAAAATAGAAAATTTGAAATATTTTTTAAGAAAATTTTAATATATATATAAAAATTTAAAATAAAAGGCTTATATTGGTCGACGAAAAAAGTAAGGTTAATCTGTAAATCCGATCATACCTTAAGTAACCAAAATAAATTGTCGTGTAATCAAAGCAAAATTTTTGTACTATAAATCATAAATTTTAGTTGTTGTGAACTTTGTGGTATTGTGGTAATTGTAATATTTGTAGTATTCAAATTTTTTTCTTACCAAATAAGGATTAAGTGATACGAAAATCGAAATTTGTTTTTTTTGCTCAATACAACTAACAAATCAGATGACGTTATCTAATTATTTATTTATATATATTGCTTTGTTTAATCAAAAGTAAATAAATGAATAATAATAATGGAAATAATAAATAGCAAATAACAAAACTACAGTATACCCTTGTTATTTAAATAATATTATTTGCACTACAACTTACACAATATAAGTTTACACAATAAGTAAATACTACTTACAATATACTCCGAATTCTTACATCTTTTCGACATTTATTCAATTTAGTTTCATTTATTTACTAATCATGGAATAGAAATATTAAAATTAAAATTAACTAAAGTATCCATTTCCTAGAATTAATAGTAGTTATCGGATAGAGAAATAGAGAAGGTCGATATCCGACTACGTAAAGAAGTTGGAATAAAGTGGTTAAAGAAAATCTTTTAAAATTACTATATGATATATTTACGATTAAAATATTTAAATTACTTTTTTTTAAAAAAAAATATTTAATTTTTTTTTTATTTATCGTCCATGTCACAGAAATGAAAATAATTGGATGTAACGGATCAGCATTTAGCCATGGCCCGATATTTAGGTAACCGGCGTAAGCCGTAAGTCGATGAATAATAAGATAATTATATATTATTGTTTGGAACTGATCATAACATTTAAATGAGACCATTAAAAAATTCTCCATGGAAATGTTTTTCAGAATTGTAATATTACATTTAATGTGAATAAAATGAATTTCATACGAATTTTATTATATATACACTTATAAATATTAGTATGTTATGATCATATATACCTGAACGACAATTATTATAATATAAATAATAAACTGCACAAATATAAGCGATTAAAGTTAATTTTATCGAATTGATTTTGTAAAAAAAAGGGAACATGAAATAAATAAATACCGTAATAAGCCACAATAGGTTATTAGTTATAATCAGAGTATTTAGTAGATCAGGGGGTACTAGTATTACATTAGTATTCGTCTGTATTCTATAAATAAAATTCGTTCTCTCATTGCTTATTTTAGTGCCTCAGAGTTTTCTTTCGAAAATCGGGTTTCACAAAAAAAAAGAAAAAATAATCAAACGTCATACTAAAAAAAAATTTTTTTCCCTTGAGTGACATCACAGGACATCACAAGACATAAATATTTGTGCTAAACATGTCAAACATATCAAATATTATGCATGATTTTTATTTGACTAGGATTCTTACATCATAAAAAAAAAACCAAGTTTGTCACACGGCTTTCAACCAAAGCAGAGAACTAATCAATATTTTGAGAGAAAGTCAACCGATATGTAAACTTGTTATCTATAGCAAATGGAAAATAATTCTATAATTCTATAAACAAATAATCATAAAAACAATATACAAAAACTTATTTAAATAGTGTATATCATTTCAATGGCACATGCGTCAAGTGATTGTTGCTTAATCGGTAAAATCCGGAATGTAAAATGTCGCCTTATTGCGCATTTCGGGTATTTTAGCTTGATATTTAATTTAAATCACAAGTCTTAACTCCGTTGTTAAAGGAACCACTTATATTTCCTTTAAAGTGATATCATCATGCTCACGTTTTATTTGTGTAAATTAGTAAATTATTATCATAACAGATAAAAAATCTTTATAAAATGGCAAAAAATCTTTATAAAATTGTCAAAAAATTTTCTTAAGCCTCTTATAACCTTTTGGTTCGTTCATAAAATAAAATTACAAAAAAAAATCCAAAATTGAAAAATAAAAAATAAAAAAAAATGAATAATATGACTATCAGTCGGGAACTTGAAATGCTACGTCAAGAAGTTACTAGAATTCAAATTTTTCCGCCTCCTATTAACGACTTTGAAAATATTGTCAAGTTATTTAAACGAAAACCGTCTCGCAGAAAAGTTCACATAAAGTATCCCGTGCTATTGAATTTTTTTATCAAAAAACAAGCGCAACAGACATATAAACAGTGCGTTATTGATAAGATTATAAGAGAGTTATGGAATTCTACGACCAGAAATAATAGAATAATATATATCGATCTATGTAATCAAATAAGTTTAAGGATTAATAATTAAATTGGAGGTTAATCAATTTGGATATTTTGATACATTTATTATGTTATATTTTAAATCATTTTTTTCTTGCATTTTTTTTTTTTTGCATTTATTTTTTTAATTATGTAACATTTTCATATTTCACGAACATTCTTTTTTAATAGTAACTATCGAATTGGTTATAATACTTTTTAACTTAAACGTAACAAAAAATTTTTTTTTTCCTACAAAATCTAAACTTCTAATTTTTAAATACGATAAATCTACTATTTCTTATTTCGGCAAAAATCTGAATTTTTAAATACGCAAGTTTCTTTTTTTCTATAAAATCTGAATTTTAATTATGCAGGCTTATTTCTTTTTTCGGCAAAATCGCAAAATCTGAATTTTATATAAATTGTAATTTTCTTACGTATGTAATGTAATTGATTTTTCAATAAAATATTATTTTAAAATGATTCGATGTGGATAAGATCACGAAGATCGGAAATATCCGGATCTAAAGTATCAAAACATTTATTAGTTCGATCAAGTGACTAAAAATGGTAACGTTACACACTAAAATAAGGATTAAATGGACATTAATATTATATAACGAAAAAAAGTTGGAAAATTAATAACATACCAGTGTATCACTGGCTTCTGGCTACGGTGTTAGGGTGTCGCAGGTGTCGCACAAACTAATTTTTTCATGTTATGCAGATGTCGATCAAATTTTTTTAACGTATTAAAATTTAAAAAATTATTTAATAAATTTTCAAACCATTTATTTTAGTAAATCTTAAATTTTTTTAATGTATTAAATTTAAAATTTTTTAAATTAAAATTATGTATAAGACTAATTTTACAGGGTGATTTAACCTGGTGATTTAACCTACTAGTAAAATTTATATAATTATATAATTTTGCCCAAACTTTCAAATAAAAAAATGTAAATTATGATTACAATAAAAAACGAGAGACATTATCAAAAATATAAGAAAAATTGGTCATTATACTCTATAATATCCAAATAAATAAAATCTATATAAATTGAAATGAATAATAACACAAATAATTTTTTTTTTTAAAAAAAAAATATTGATGTAAAATATAAATTTTGGGTGATTTAACCCAGGTTATTTAACCCAGAGGCAAGTTAGCAAAACTCAGAGATTATTTTCTAAATAAATTTTCAAATAACATGTTCACTTTTTTTTCTCGCTCACTATTACTATTCTAGATTTTCATGAGTTAAACTCGCTTTTGACGCTTTTTGCCCCTAAGTTCTATTAAATCTGAAGAATTACAACGTTTGCTTCACGTGATTTAGGGTGTCCTGGAGCTAATTTTTTGCGATTTGGGGTGGCCGCGATTTTTTGATAAAATTTCACGATTTCCACGCTGATTGGATGGATGGATAACCATGTGATTATGATTTTGCTGAAATTCTGGCCAAAATAATTCCGGCTAAAATTATGGCGCCTTACGGCTTTAGTTAATTTCGGCCAATCGCGAATTTGCGAAAAATCGTGAAAATCACGCGCGATTTTTGGGTCATCACGACAACCCCTGGACACCTAACGTGATTGTGCTTTTTTTTTGGCATTTTGTCTATTAAAATAATTGACATAACTAAAAATGTTTCGTCGCATTATTGAATTATCAATTTGTCTTCAAGTTTTCACAGCAAAATAGCTTAAAACAAAATAAGCAACCTTGGCCCGCATTAGTTGTTTGGGGATAGTCCTTAAGAACGGTCTCCAACTGAAAAGGAAGTTGAAAAACAAACGCAATATTATTTAATTAAACTTTATTTTTTTTTTTAAATAAAATTGTAACGCATTTCTTTATTTAGGATAGAAATCCAATTTCGAAATACCTAGACCCGTTCGTGCAACACGAAACGAATCTATAACAGAGTCCAATCTATCCTAATACAATAAAATAAAAAAGAAATAAATAAATAAAAAAATAAACAAACCCGTATAAACCTAAACTCAAGTGGACCTAACTAAACTAACAAATAAAGAAAATTAAACTAAATTAAGAAACTAAATCAAGAGAAGCTCTCGCTAATCTAGTAATGGACTACAATGCTAACTAATGCATAGGTCGACCTCTTTTCCACATTTAGTTCCTTATTAATTTCATAATTTCTTTTAACCGTTACTTGCATCTTTTTCTCTCATTTGTTATCGGAATATTTTTTAACGTGAAATCACGTGACTTCGATTGTAAGATGCCAGTTACCATATCCTTGTCTTCTCACCTTCTTTTTTCTTCAGATTCGTTCGTCTTTCGCGGTGATGGTGACCCCAAAATCGGTCTTTTCTCACCAACTTGTTTGCGATTCTCGTCCTTCAGTCTTTTTGTGAAATCATCATTTAGTATGATGTATTCTATTTAATTAAACTTATAATTTTACATAATGTAATAAATTATCAATGCCGTATCGCTAACATAGTTTTGACTAATTAGTCTGTGTGACTACTATGGTGTATAAATTTATTTATTTATTTATTTATTATAATTTATATTAGAAATCCTTTTATTGGCCCTTTTGCGTACGTATAGGTACTAGAATTCTTTAGTGTTGGTGCACTTAATATAGGGTTAGGTTTGTCCAATTACATATAAGGTCTAGGTATTTCTAGTTTATTACGTATTTTGTATATTGTATAAATTTGGATTAATAAAAAAGAGATATTCACTGTTTTTTAAAAAAAAATGATGTAAATGATGTTTAGATTATAATTGACGCTTTAATCCAATCGCAGCAGCAATCCCAATATATGATTCTATTGATGTGCATCATCAGCTGATTTATTTTAGTTTGCATCAATTACCGACGTACTCGGCGTATTCGGAAACGAAATTTGCCGAGCGTCCCGTGGAATATGAAAACAACCTTTAGTATATAAAATTTTCCGTTAGAAACTATATCAACCTCCCGTATTATTTAGTGATTGCTGCAACATAAATAATATTAAACTATGTAAATACTTAATATAACTAACACTAATAACGCAAAAGTGTCAGATTATAAATAGAAAAATGATTTTAAAATTTTCTAAATTTTGTTTGAGCCAAAGTATTTGAATAAGATATTTTTCCTTATTAACAAAAATTAACATAAAAGTAAAAACTGAAATTTCATATACTATAATATATATACTCATAATAAATTAATTTCATCCGATAGCTACTTCTGTCCGATTATTGAGTACTAGTCGAAGCATAATTATAAAAGCCACCTCTGTGAAAGAAAATGGCGGAAATGGCTTGAAAATGTGCGCTTAGTAATAAATATTTACGTCTGAGTTATGCACGGTTATGTGGCGACACGAGTTATTGGCGCATGAAATTCTGTTCCTGATCGGCGAAAGTGATAACGTCCAAATGTGTATGACAAAGCAAATAAATGATTTAATTTGTAATACATAAATAGACTAAATAGTAACGTTATTGTTTTTTTAATAATATTCTTATCTTCTTCTTTGACAAAAAAAAAGAAAGATAAAATGTCAAATAAAGAAGTTAAAGATTCAAATTATTACATCGATTGGTTAGAAAAATCAATTGCAAATGAATATTTAAGTTATTATGAATATTCAGAATTCAAAAATATTAAACAAATAGGAAATGGTTCATTTGGAAGTGTCTCTCGTGCTAATTGGAAAAATACTGATACAATTTTAGTTTTAAAATCTTTTAATAATTCAAATCCGACTCTTAAAGAAATTGTCAATGAGGTATTTTGAATTTAAAATTATTATTATTTTTTTTTTAAGGTTTACTCCTTAGTTAAATAATTTAAAATTATATTAATAAATTAACTTTTTAATTTTGTTTTACTTTATTATAATTGCAGTTAAAATTACATCGGGATGTTCATTTTAATGCGAACATAATAAAATTTTATGGAATCACAAAAACGGAAACTGGTAAGAATAAAATTAATTATTAATTAAATTTATAACAATAAAATATTTTAACAAAAAATATTTTTTTTATTTAGAAAATTATGCTTTAGTTTTGGAATATGCTGATAATGCTACATTAAAAACATATCTAAACGAAAATTTTAATGAACTTGAATGGAAAGATAAATTTTGTTTAGCATTACAATTAACAGATGCTATATTATGTTTACATGAACGTGATATCATTCATCGTGATTTGGTAATTTATTAACTTTATTAATTATTAATTTATCTAATTTATTTAAACAAAATTAATTCATTAATATTACTGTATATATATAGCATCCAAATAATGTACTTGTACATCAGAAAAGTATTAAGTTGGCAGACTTCGGCTTATCAAAAAAAATTGCTGAAGCATCAGGTAGTAGATCAAATATATTCGGTGTACTACCTTATATAGATCCGAAAACTTTTAATAATGATTATAGATTAAATGAAAAATCCGATATATATAGTATTGGAGTTATTATGTGGCAAATTTCAAGTGGTCGTCAACCATTTGAAAATTTGGAACATGACGTAAGTTTAATCTTAGCTATACAAGGAGGAAAAAGAGAAGAAATTGTTGTTGGTACGCCTATCGTATATAGTGACTTATACGCGAGTAAGTTGTATTGATAATATTTATTATAACATATTGGTAAACTTTTTTTTAGGCAGAAATTAATTTTAAATTATTCTAATTATATATTTAAATTAGAATGTTGGAAATATGAACCAAATGAACGTCCAAATATACATGAACTTTTTTCTTCCCTTAAATTAATTTCTTTACAAGAAAATCATAAATTATATACTAGTGAAACTAGGGAAAAAAGTAATTTATTAAAAGAATTAAATAATAAAAGTACAGATTCAAGTGGATTAGTACAAAAAATCAATTGGTATGAAATGGCAGCAGAAAATGGAGATAGAATCGCTCAATATAATTTAGGTACATGTTATCAATATGGAAATAATATTGAAAAGGATGAAATTAAAGCATTTGAGTGGTATAAAAAATCAGCTGAACAAGAACATAATGATGCACAAAATAAGCTTGGATACTGTTATAATAATGGTATCGGTATAGAAAAAGATTTAAAAGAAGCATTTTATTGGTATCAAAAGTCAGCGGAGAATGGAAATAAATTTGCACAATATAATTTAGGACAATGTTATGAATATGGGAATGGTATTGAAAAAGATGAAATTAAAGCATTTGAGTGGTATATAAATTCGGCTGAACAAGAATATAGTGATGCACAATATAGTTTAGGGATATTTTTTAAAAATGGTATAGGCGTAGAAAAAGATTCAAAAGAAGCATTTTATTGGTATCAAAAGGCAGCAGAAAATGGAAATATGTTTGCACAATATAATTTAGGCCTAAGTTATCAATATGGTGAAGGTGTTGAAAAAAATGCAAGTAAGGCGTTTGAATGGTATAAAAAATCAGCTGAATTAAAATATAGTGATGCACAAAATAGTTTAGGAATTTGTTATGAAAATGGTATAGGCGTAGAAAAAGACTTAAATAAAGCATTTTATTGGTATCAAAAATCGGCAGAAAATGGAAGTGATGTTGCACAAAATAATTTAGGAATTTGTTATGAAAATGGTATAGGCATAGAAAAAGATTTAGAAAAAGCAATTTATTGGTATAAAGAATCAGCAAAAAGCGAAAATAAAGACGCACAATGTAATTTAGATAAATATGGAGATGGTATTGGTAATAATGAAAGCAAAACATTTAAATTGTATAAAAAATCGGCTAAAAAAGTACAAAGTGAACCTGAAAATGTTAGAAGTGCGGAAAAGGATTTAGAAAAAGCAATCGATCAGCATCAAAAATCAACAGAAAATGAAAATGAAATTGAACAACTTAGTTTAAATAATAATGATATTGAAAAAAATAAAATTAAAGAATTTGAACGGTTTAAAAAATCAGCCGAGCAAGATAAAGACTTAATAAAAGCAGTTTATTGGTATCAAAAAGCAGCTGAAAATGGAAATAAATCTGCACAACATAAGTTAGGACAATGTTATCAATATGGAAATGGTATTGAAAAAGACGATATTAAAGCATTTGAGTGGTATAAAAAGTCGGCTGAACAAGAATATAGTGATGCACAAAATAACTTAGGAATTTTTTATGAAGTTGGTAAAGGCGTGGAAAAAGATTTTAAAAAAGCATTTTATTGGTATCAAAAAGCAGCAGAAAATGGAAATAAATCTGCACAACATAATTTAGGACGATGTTATCGACATGGAAAGGGCATTGAAAAAGACAATATTAAAGCATTTGAATTGTATAAAAAATCAGCTGAACAAGAATGTAGTGAAGCACAAAATAGTTTAGGAACATGTTATGAAACTGGTATGGTTACAGAAAAAGATTTAAAGGAAGCAATTTATTGGTATCAGAAAGCAGCAGAAAATGGAAATAAATTTGCACAACATAATTTAGGACGATGTTATCGAAATGGAAATGGCATTGAAAAAGACGATATTAAAGCATTTGAGTGGCATAAAAAATCAGCTGAACAAGAATTTAGCGAAGCGCAATGTAGATTAGGCATATTTTATGAAAATGGTATAGGCGTAGAAAAAGATTTCAAAAAGGCATTTTATTGGTATCAAAAAGCAGCAAAAAATGGAAGTACACAAGCACAATATAATTTGGGGCAATGTTATCAATACGGAATAGGTATTGAAAAAGATGAAATTAAAGCATCTACATGGTTTAAAAAATTAGCTGGGCAAGATACGACTGATAATGCATTGAATAACTAGTTTCGATAGATAATTAAATTAAAGTCAAGGGTAAATATTTTTGTTTTATAAATCAATATATCATTAATTTAATTCAAGTCCATGTGGCGAAAAAATTCTGAAATATTTGTTAATAACTTATACTTTAGAACAGTTGTAATGAATTATAAGGTATGCTAGAAAGAAGGAAAATAAACGTGTAAAAATTTAAATCTGAGAGAGCTTTAGTCCTTAGTTCGTTAATTTATTGATGATTTTGCATATTATTTTGTTAACTGGCCAACAGTGGTGGTAGCGATAATTATTATTTATCTTCAAATTATTGAGTTATTCTGATTTTATATTATTCCGTTACTTTTGGCTAATATAAAACATGTTAAATGAATCAATCTGATTTCATTTATATATTACTTATTCGAAGCTTTCAGAGATACTTACCATATATTCATATTCACAATATTCGCATTATTCGCTTGATCGTCAATTTGTTTCATCATTCAATAGATTCAGAGCTCTTTGCAATTGGCAGCTATTTTTCATTTGTTAAATATAATCCATTTTATCAATAAATTATACTACCTCCAGAATAAGAAATAAGTTACCAAATATCTTTTACCTTATCCAATAATTTTGTCCGGCAATACGTTTAAGTAAATTAATGATCAAACAATCCACATACCAAATATTTATTCATTCATCCAGCAATAAAATCATGTTAATAGAATATTACAATAATGACAAACAAACAAACAAATAAAATCAAACCATATCCTAGGATATTTTTGAATTCTACATAAATAATCTAATTCGATAAAATTCATTTGTTAGGTCCAAAATAACTCGGTCATAATTGATCTTTATATTTATCAAGCCAAATATAATTTTATAATATTAATCATCCATTGTTTTTCCATATATTTATCACTTGAAATCTATTAATCCATTGATTCTTCCAATAAATCACAATCTTCACACTTTCCATATTTATCCAAATAATTAACAATAATATTTTACATTTATCCAAATTAGTGAAATACCTTTTAATAAAAAAAAAATGAACAAATAAAATAAATAAATCAAACCACAGCTTAGAATACCAAAATTTTAATTTATCCTTTGCTTATCCAGATCAATGTAATAACAATTCTAAAGATTGATTCATTTGTCTCTTTAACAATTAAAAAAATACTTAGTATACTAATATAACATTATCTATAGTTATCAAAATCAAAATTAATATATTTGATATTTAGTATCCAGATAAAGAAAATATGTTAGTAAATGTTATATAATAAGAAAGATCACAAATTTTTAAAAATCAAACCATATCCGAGATTATTTCATCAAATGACTAATAACATATTAAGAATCAAAATCTATAATTCTCCACTACCAATCATTAATCTTTCCAGTATCATCTATTATTCTTCACTATCAATAATTAATTTTTCAGTTTAACATCCAAATTGTTCAAATTGTTCAAAATTTTAATATCATTCATTTTTTATTTAGTATCCAGATAAAAAAAATATGTTAGTAAAATGTTTTATAATAAGAAAGATTACAAATTTTAAAATCAAACCATATCCAAGATTATTTCATCAAATAAATTTGTCTAGTAACATATTAAAAATCAAAAAATTATTATTCTCCACTACAAATAATTAATCTTTTCCAGTATCATACAATTAATCTTTTCCAGTTAACATATAATTAATCTTTAATCTTTCCAGTATCATATAATTAATCTTAATCTTTCCAGTATCATCTATTATTCTTCACTACCAATAATTAATTTTTCAGTTTAACATCCAATTGTTCAAAATTTCAATATCATTCATTTTTTATTTAGTATCCAGATAAAGAAAATATGTTAGTAAAATGTTATATAATAAGTAAGATCCCAAAATTTTAAAACCAAACCATATCCGAGATTATTTCATCAAATAACTTTATCTAGTAACATATTAAGAATCAAAAAAATCTATTATTCTCCACTACAAATAATTAATCTTTTCCAGTATCATACAATTAATCTTTTCCAGTAACTTATAATAATCTTTTCCAGTATCATAATTTTCTTTTCCAGTATCATATAATTAATTTTAATCTTTCCAGTATCATCTATTATCCTCCACTACAAATAATTAATTCTTCAATTTAACATCCAAACAAATTGTCCAAAATTTCAATATCATTCATTTTTATTTAGTATCCAGATAAAGAAAATATGTTAATAAATGTTATATAATAAGAAAGATCCCAAATTTTAAAAATCAAACCATATCCGAGATTATTTCATCAAATAACTTTATCTAATAACATATTAAGAATCAAAAAAAATCTATTATTCTCCACAACAAATAATTAATCTTTTCCAGTAATCCAGTATCCTATAATTTTTCTTTTCCAGTATCATATAATTAATTAACAGTTAATCTTTTCCAGTAACATAATTAATCTTAATCTTTCTATTATTCTTTACTACTAATAATTAATTTTTCAATTTAGCGTCCAAGTTGTTCAAAATTTTAATATTATTTATTTATCTATTGTCTTTTCACATTTTTATTCAGTATCCAGATAAAGTAACATATTAAGAATCAAAAAATTTCACAATTATTTCTTCCAATATATTTTTCTTTGCAAAGTAATCCTCATGTATCTCAATTATCAACTATGGAAAAGGAAAGAAAAAAAAAATATGTTAGTAAAATATTGTACTAATAAAAAACGCATAAGTGAAGTCAAACCATATCCTAGGATTTAATTCTTTATAAGCAGTCCAAATATATCTTTAAAACTATTATTAACTCTAACTACATCCAATATCATAAGTATATTCATTTCCATGTTCGTATTAACTCCGAAAAAAAAACATGTTAATAAATGTTGTACTAACTAAAAAAGTTATGATCCAAACAATTTATCTTAATCTTTAATTATCTCTAGAAAAAAAATTGAAAAACATGTTAGTAAAATGTTGTATTATTAAAAAAACATGTAATAAAGTCAAACCATATCCAAGATTTATCTCAATCATCAACTCTAGAAAAATAATGAGAAACATGTTAGTAAAATGGTGTACTATTAAAAAAAACATGCAATAAAGTCAAACTATATCCAAGAAATTCATTTATCAACTCTAGAAAAAAATAAAAAACATGTTATAAATTAGTTACTATTAAAAAAAAACATACAGTAAAGTCAAACCATATCCAAGGATTTATCTTATCTCAATTAACAACTCTATCAACTCTAAAAAAAAATAAAAAAAAAACATGTTAGTAAAAATACTATTAAAAAACATGCAAATAAATTCAAACTATATCCAAGGATTTATCTTATCTCAATTATAAACTTTAAAAAAAAAATTGAAAAACATGTTAGTGAAATGTTGTATTATTAAAAAAACATGCAATAAAGTCAAACCATATCCAAGGATTTATCTTAATCATCAACTCTAGAAAAATAAAACGAAAAACATGTTAGTAAAATGGTGTACTATTAAAAAAAAAATGCAATAAAGTCAAACCATATCCAAGGATTTATCTTAATCATCAACTCTAGAAAAATAAGACGAAAAACATGTTAGTAAAATGGTGTACTATTAAAAAAAAATGCAATAAAATCAAACCATATCCAAGGATTTATCTCAATCATCAACTCTAGAAAAAAAAATGAAAAACATGTTAGTAAATTGATGTACTATTACAAAATATACAGTAAAGTCAAACCATATCCAAGGATTTATCTTATCTCAATATAAACTCTAAAAAAAAAAAAAAATGAAAACCATGTTATTAAAATGTCATATTATTAAAAAAAAAAAAAATATGCAGATTTATCTTATCTCAATTATCAACCCTAGAAAAAAAAAGTAAATAAATAAATAAATCAATCAAATGAACTTTTTGAAGTTTCTAAAGTCCAACCACTAAAAATAGAAAAGGCAGAAAAGAGAGATAGAAGTTAATGGTTTGATAATTTGATAAAAAATACCAATAATCTCTTATTCTATTATTTTTTCACACTCTTCCATGCATTTTTGTTTGTCAGTGATAAGAAACTTAAATAATAAGTGTTATAAATAAACCAAACTGGATCCAAGCCTCCAAGATAATTTATCCAAATATACTGAGTAGTCAAATTTTGCAAATTTTGTAATTAACACTTGTTCAAAATAAAAATGTTAAATCCCTAATGAGATCTAATTTTCATGAGTGAAATGTTATATCAGTATTAAGCTATATTGCTACTGTTTATACATCTCAAAATACTATTGATGCATATATTAACCTGATTAATCAATCTTAGGAGATAAAAAATCGTATAGCAGATGACAGTTTGAATGATACAGCAAGAAAGGGAGTTGAAGGTAAACCAAAAGGTTAGGGTAGTTACATAAATATAAAAGACTATTAATAGCGTTTAAAAACAACTGGAAGAAGCAAGGTTGCACTTGCTGATTTTTGTGGACAGTTTCATGGCTATATTTCGTACATAGAAAAATATGTGTAGTCATTATTACGTTTTTGGTGGAAATAAGAAATTTGAGTGCTGAGTTCTATTATCAACAAAGGAGTAAAAAAAACAAGACTCTACCATGGATGTTGAATAGCTCAACTAGTTTCTAACATATCGCAGTTCTTCAGTTAAAAGATAAGAAAAGGTGAAATTGGAGTAAAGACAGAGAGAAAGAGAAGACTTAAAAAAAGAGAAAGCTGAAAAAAGAGAAAAGAAAGATGAGGGTGACTGAGAAAAAAAAGACTATTTTATCCTTAACATCCCACGCGTCAGAATGATATACGCGTTATAATATAAATGACGCGACTAAGATTGAGTCATAGTACTTACATTGCTGTGATTGATATAACATATCACAAGCACATGTTTAATTTCCTATTTAATAAATATTACTCGTGAGTGATAATATATTTTGGGTTATAATATTATATAATGATAACATCAGGACCCAGAAATATATATAAAAAGGTCAGCGTATTTGAACAAATCATGAA